CTGTACTCGCTCGAACGAAGGTTAAGGAGGGGCGATCTCATCCAGGCTTTCAAGATAATTAAAGGAATAGATAATGTCGAGTGTGGTAGGTTTTTCCAGTTTGATGGCAGCAAGAGAACGAGAGGTAACCGACTTAAGTTGCGCAAACCGCAGGTGCGGCTCAGGTCGAGACAGGAATTCTTTACTTGCAGAGTGGTGAACGCGTGGAATGCGTTAGATGACGAAGTAGTGGCTGCCCCGCGCTGTGACTATCTTTAAGAAGAAACTGGATGCTTTCATGGACAGGTAAAAAGGTGGGGGGCAATGTTGACGTTAGGTACTAGACAGTAAGCAACTAGGATAGTCAAAAAATAAAAATAAAAAATACAAAAATATTTAGCTTTAAGAGGGTTAGGCCTACCCTAAAATTAAGGAACGCTCGACCTCGACACTTGATATCGAAATGGGTGAAATTGCCTCTTGATATCACTAATTATCTTGAATCTTGAATGAGAGCAGAATGTGCCACAAGAAGCAGAGAAAGGATTGAGCTCAGGAGAAAGAGGAAGTGGAAAAGAGGAAGGTTCTCCCGAGCGAGAAGCAGACCCCCCCACGACCCACTGAATGGCGTATTTGCTGGACATCTGCAATCATTCCAGTCTGCCCTACCTTTTCGACTGTTCTCTCTCTACTCATGTATTGCCGACAGGAATAGCGCAGAATGATCCTTTCGCCATTGGCACGAGGTAGGACTTTTCAGGAAGGACTTTTCAAGGAAGGACTCACGCTCGGTCCAGGTATGCACATATTTTGGACGATGAATCTTCCCCCGTAATATGCGATATTGGCCCAATCAAGGTCCTTCATCGGTATATCGGCTTAAGATTGACCTTGGTTCACTATCTTGGCTCGATGTTGGTCCGCTAAATTGAGGCAATGTTTAGGTGCAATAAAGAATTGCAGTCAAGGCCCAATGTTTACCCACGATAAGCGATCCAATATTGAGAATATCCAATTAGTCCACCCCACCCCAGTAGCATCTCAATATTGACACCCAAAATTGGCCAATAATAGTGTTACTACATGGAAAAGCATTGGGCCAATATTGGCCCTGAACTGAATCGATATTCTGCTTATTACCGTTACATACTGATAAACGACATTTTTATGGTGCCATAAAGCGGAATTCATTACCCAGTCATTAAACTTTTGTGGGAGACATTCCCATCTACAGCAGAATCTCTTGGCCATTCACAGTATATCGCCTGGGCTGTGGATGGTCGGAGGATATAACACGTCTCAAGGTTGGATATTCCTTAAGTACAAGGTGAGTCACAAGTCTGGAACCATTTGTAATTTTTTTACAGTTAGGCGTGAAAGATGGGTGTGAAGACTGGATTGAAATATTCCTTTTGAAAGGAAGAGCAAGAAAGGAAGAGCATCTTGATTGGCTGAAAAGTTTGCGTTAGTGTACAACTGCTATTGGACTTCATAATGAACACATCTTGTGGAAATTCCTATGGTTCCACACCTGTAGAACAATGAAAGTTTAATTGGGAATTCGGGCTGGCAATTCTTATTTCATTGCTTTGCTGTCAGAAGCTAGTAAGGGATTGCTAAGAACTTCTTTATTTGCTATGTTTTAATACTTAATTTAGTTCAACTTACGCATTTTGGTAAAGTCCTTTCATTGAGAAGACACACTTGTTTCTGGCCCGAGCTCCATGAATCTGTCTCGAAATATGGAGGTAATATACGCTCCTAGTGAGAAACGATCCCAGGGAAAGAGGGAAGGACAATTGTTTGTATTGTGGGAAAACGAGCCCCACGACTCCATCTAGTGGCCTGGAAGAGAATTTATTCATTTCCTTAATACTCATAGGTACAACTGGAACACGTCGGTTCATATTGGATCGATGATGGAATTGCAATATCGGGGACACATTCGCAAATATTCAGCCAATATTGTAAATATTGACTAAGATGTCGCCAACGAACCCAATATTGGCCCAACACTAGGCCAACATTTGGTGAGACTTGGGTATGGCATTAATTAGACGATGTGTGCTCAAGCTCGCACCTATGATATTGGGCCAATGCTGGACAAACATCGTAAACCTCGGTGAAGAATTGTAGTCCTCTTCGCTACAAGGTGGAGCTTTTTGTGCTGTTATTTCGAAGTACGCAAAAGTACTTTCCCTTTTATGCCTGCAATTCAGGCATGCAGGAGCATGTAGCACTCGCTCACAACATGCGTAGGCTCATTGGAAGAGACTATGGCAGTGGCACTTGGACATGTATCGCTCCTATATTCTGCTAAAGAATTACGGAGCCTCCACACTGTATCTCTCACCGTATCTTTCTAATGCGAAGACTATGTCGACATGCATCGACATGACATTTTTAGTAAATGCAGGAGATCATCCTGAAAAAGCAAAAGTTGTGGTAGTCGGAGTGCCCCGAAGAGCGAGTAAAGCACTAAAAGCATTTAGTGACTCGATGTCATTTTCATGACAGCAGGACCTTTCGCCTTTAGTATCGTTCAATACGGCAAAATGTGTTTTCATTTGACCCCGATTGGGACCGTGATTCCGATCTTCTAATACGGTCTAATACGAGGAACACCTTGTCAACTCTATTTCTCCATTGTTATGGTGCTTCCTGGGGTGGGATACGTTACGATCTGCATCATTGCAAATATAATTACCCTCTATGGACAGGGGAGAGAAGAGGTAGGAGAATGAAGTCAGGAAAGTCTACTCTTGTAGTTGGTCTCTTTCCTCTCGGAAATGCTTTATTTTATCGTTTCGTTAAACAAAATTTAATAATAATCGCATTCTGTGATGGGATACGGTAATTATGACCAAAATAACGAAGGACGAGGTATTCCTATTTATAACGGGTGAGGCAAAAAACGCCGCTCTTCGAAATTCTTTGGCGTTCATGAGACAGCAATAACACAGCAGTTTTTTTTTCTGCAATGACTTCTATGCATTCTCTAAATACCCTGAAATTCTTGTCCGTTATTCACCAGCCATTTCACTTCAGCGATTTTATTTAAGCAATTCGAATTTCATTTTTCAGGAGAAAAGGATTAGTCATTTAGCAGGGTGATTAGTCATTTAGCACCGATATCGGGCCAGAGCTCCTCCGTTCGTCCATGAAAATGTGAAAACATTACTCTTAGCGAAAAGAATGGGGTGGGGACAACAATTTCGCGAGAATTTCCTGGAAAGGAATGAGGAAACGTAGGCATAACGGAACGATTCACAAGCTGCCACTAAGTGGTTCACCTGATAGGAAAAGAGGGAATGGTGGACCAAAGTTAGCTTCATATGTAACTATCAGAACCCGGACGGTCATATTTTTTAACTTTCATCTCTTCATTTCCAAAGAATCTCTTCAAAATACTTTGCCTAATTTCTATTACATATCTTCATGTAAATAAACAGAGCATCGGACATAGAAAATTTACGGCGCGGTCGACATCCCCAGAACAGTACAGGATTAAACTGAAAAAAAACTGCCTTTGTGTAGAAGAAGCCATTTTATCCGAAGATAAAACCAGAAGATACGACCCAAGGACGTAAAAGTCCCAGAAGTAAATTGCCCGAGGTCAAAACGCCAAAGGTCAACTCGACCATGATGTGTACTTGACCATTCTTTATTTGTTTGAAAATTGGCAGGAAGAGATGATGGCTCCAAGTATGGATATTGAATTTCTTTCAAATAAGATGTGAATGAGTGAAGATAAAACACTTGGTAGGTTCGGCATCACTCTACACCTCTGGGGTTGCTTCTGCGTAATACATGGTCGAGTTCGTTCCTAATTGAGCTAGAGAGGTGTTCAATATTTCATTTTAAACTCTTATTTTGCCCTTTCTAATGTCAAAAAATCCCAACGATATTGATATTATATCCCGAGAGGGATAAAAATATCCCTGTAATTTCCTTTCCCTCTGAAAAAATATACCAGTGTATTTTTCCCGGTGGGAAGGAAAGTTCGATGCATTTCTTCCCCGGGGGAAGTGTTTTTCTGGGGGTCAAAATATCCTGCCACATCGTATCGAAAAAGATGCATCCGTAGATAGACATTCCTCTGGTTCATTGTGTCAGCAGCATACACGTTGACAAACTGTTTTTTATTTTCTCTCCCTGTCCCACCCTCCTTCAGCAGTTGTTTGAGCTTCACCTTACTTTCAGCATATTGCTTGTTACTGTATCACCGCTGTAACACACGCGTAATCCAAATCTTATAGAACAACGCGAAGGAGTGTATTACACTCGACGACGTTTGCACATATGTAGGTCAGGAAATTTCAGAGAAAAAAAATTTAGTGACATAACTTTTGAATACCCCTCGTAGAAGAGGTCAATTATTGCAAGTTTTATGCATATCCCATGGACCAGAGTGATGATGGGGTGGTCCAAGAGGATGATATAACTCCAAATATCTCTATTTGTGTTGCTTCGTATATATACAGGGTGTCCAAAAATTAAAAAAATTCACTCGGGTCCGTCTGGAACTCAATTGAGATTTTGGAAGATGACGAACGATTTCACCAACGTATTGTGGTACTTTGCTTCAGCTTGAAGGATACACGGAACAAATACGTTATGTCCATGGACAAGGTCATGCGGAAGAATTGGATGGAGGAGGGGACAGGAACATGTCTTGCAAGAAATCGATTCAGACAGAATCAAAAGGTGACCTTACGATTGTCACCGTGCATTAAGAACACCTTCAAAGTACATTCTCTATTGTCGCACTATATGAGTGCCTGTATCTGGTCATTTTTCCCCTCGGCGCATAAAAAAAGAGATGGCGAGGACAACGGTTTATTCACCAGGCACGCGATGGTTGAAACGTATCACACCCCGAAAGAAAACAAAATCAACTACTCCTACCAAGGAAGGGCGATCACTGCAAATACGGAAATGTGAGGTTGACACATACAATGGAAGACATGAATGAGACTGACACGAGGGAGACCGACTAAAACGGGGTTCACAGCTCGTCTTCGTATTGCTTTCGGAAGCATTCGCCCACAGGGAAGAAATCCCAGCATCGCTGCGTATACATGTTCCACACGTACGTCTCCTGGCCCGTGTATTCAGTGTCCGGCTTGTTGATCAGATGCATGAGGAAGAACCTAGAAAGAAAAGTCACAAGACCTTCAACTGAGAGACGACGTGAGAGAATGGAAAAGATGATAGTTGAGACAGAGACTCACATGTAATTAGCGAGATTGTGTTCCTTGGCGACGTGAGTGTCGAATCCATGTGGGACTTTGTCGAAATAGTCCTTGCCGATGCCACAAATGAAGCAATTGGATTCCATGTCATCCTTCACGCTCTCGAGTTGGTCACGCAACTCCCCGAAGGCGTCGATGATCAGACCTATCCATACATTCTCCTTCCCAGTCGTTTGGAGGAGAGGGAGAGAGAGGGCCGAAGAGAAGCTAGCATACCCTGAATGATGGCGAGGAGGATGACGATGACGAAGAAGAAGAAGGAGATGTCAAAAATGATACGATAGACCTCGTAGTCGTCGCCGTCGGGGGGTTCGATCTCGTCCCCGATTCCTCCTCCTGCGCGAACCCCTTTGTAGAGGTGGAACACGAAACACTGCAAACCAACCACAGTCCATTCGTGTGTAATCAACGCATCCTTTCCATGGGAGAAGAAGGAGACGAAGAAGGAAAGGCATACGGTGAGCATATCGTGGCACTTTTGATCCACCTGGTCGTCCTCCTCCTGGACGTAAAATTTGCGGAAGAAATTGAAGGCGATCACCGTGTAGATATACACCACGATCGTCAGGAGCATCATCGTCAACACCAGCTGTGCATGCATATGCATCATGAGTGGGGTATAAATATCACATTTTCTCCCCTGAATCATTTATGCACGAGACTGGAGAGACTAGAATACCTGTTTCCCGTTGTGGGTGACGGACTGCAAGATGGTGCGGAGGGTCTTGAAGCCCACGGCCACGTCCAACAGGTGAGCCGCGAAAAAGAAGTAATTTATGTTTCCCAGAATCGAGAACACGAAGTACCACAAGCTGTATAGAAAGGCCTAGAAAACGAGAGGCGAGGAAAAAGAGACACACAAACTCAGGAAGAAGGCTTCAAGAACCCTCAAAGCTTGACCTGAAAACTAGGCGAAGGAATTCTTACGTTGTCGGTGATGGTAACTCCGGCCTTCCACACCTGATAACGCCAGTCGATGTTTACGATGCTAGGGATACATCAGGTAAGACTGACGGAGAGATCAAAGAGGGTAAGACGGAAAGTAGAGGAAAAGGATCTTACAATGAGATGATCCCTCCAGAATCTTCCTCGGCCTTGGCGAAGGATGCTGTTCTTTCCATGCCGAGAAGAGAGGAGATGGCATCGAAGTCATACGTCTCACTGTACTTCGCACGCACTTTCTTCTTCACAAACTTATCCCAGTAGTTCACCGGGAAGGATCTGTGAAGCAGTCACGAGCAAGGACGAGAGTGACAGCAGAGAAAAGACATCATATGGGAAAACAAGGAAAGGATGCTACTTGGCAGAGATGACGAGCTTGTCCCAGTGGAGTTTCACTTCATCGTCTTCTGGTTCGGATGCGATCCAAATGCCATCGAATTCCAGTCGACGGGCGATCTCCTTCTCTCTCTTGAAGATCGCCAACGGGACCTTCACAATCCCCATCGTCAACTCCGAGCGTTCCACTTTGAAGCGACTCGAGAATGTGAGGGTATTTCACTCTACCTTGAGGTGGTAATAGGCGACGAGCATGGCGAGAGAGACGAGGGAATGGAGGATGGCCATCGCACGAACCACGTGCTCCAGGTAGAAAAACTTCTCATCCACCTATCATACCAACATACGTAAACGTGACACGTCTCATCAATCCCTACACGAAAGTCAGATAATAAAAACGAAACCTCATTCGAAACACATTGCACGTATTGCTTGTATACAAAGGCTTAGTGTATCATACTTCTCTTCAGTAGTTGATCAAAGGGGCACATGGAGGGACTTCCCTCCCCTTTCAAGGGCCCTTTTCACGAAACTTTTTAAACTTTTCTTTAATTTTATTTCGGCTATATTTCGACTTTATCCCGACTCAAAATAAAGAAAAAATAAAGACGCCTTTGCAGGTCTCTCTATCTCGACTTTTACCTCTCTGAGGGGTACGAAAACTCTGCCCACCTGTGTGTATTTTTGATAACTTGCCCCAAGCGATGAGCGATGCATGTGCATTCTTCCTGCCACTTGTGACTTACCGCTCTCCGTGTTCACACGACCATGGCTGCAAGGCTTCACCTAATTCGAAGGCAACTTCGTCGGGAAAGAGTACTTCGCGACCGAAACAGCCCCTTGTTAGTAAACGACGACGAAGGACTCCGGAACAGATTCAGACTCTCACGGAGCCTCATCTTGGATATCTGTGCCCTAGTCCAGGCGGAAATACAAAGGGGTACTGCCCGATGTTGGAGCACTACCAATCCAGCTGATAGTATGTGTGGCACTTCGATTCCTGGCTACAGGTTTCATCTACTCCATGCTCGGTAATAGCCATGGCCTTTCCATTCCTACCATGTTAGTAGATGGAGCCTGTCCGAATTAAAGTTAAAGAAAAGATAAAAGAAGTTTCGTGAAAAAGGTCCCAGCAGTACCGGAAGAAAAGGGAGGTGGGCATAACTGGTATATTCGAAAGAGCTTAAAAAGTAAGCTACTCGTGTCTAATGTACAATGGATTCGAAATGTCACATTCGATGTTTAGGTGGCCGTAGTGCTCGCACAAAGTGACAAGATTGTAAACATTGGGTATCGAGTCTAATTGACTGTGCGGAAGCTGATGTATCAGTTGTGATAGCGTCATCTTCATGTCACGTGCTCTCATTGTGGATATTGAAGTCACCACGAACAAACACGCCAAATGCATTCCCAGAATTGAAAGGCTATATGCGCCAGGAGATTCATGTATTTCCTCAAGAAATGCAACGCGCAAGGCTGTGGAATGTGCTGTTGCGCCTTGAAGCCATCATACTTTCTAAATTAAAATGGCCTCAGCACGTATATTCACACATTTCGTTTAGACTAACCCTATATATGGATTACATTTATGAACATTAGCTTCAATTAGATCTCCAACCACGTATTTTCGTATCCCCAAACGTTGCAAATTAAATCTGCAACGTTTGGGGAAGACTCTATGCTCTGGGGAAGGAGACTGGTGTAAAATTGTGCAGTTTTTGCGCAAGAGTGGACGTAAGACGTGAGGATGGAAAATTGCCTGTGATGAAAGTCGACATGTATGGAAATGGTATAAACAAGGAGATGTTGTGGAACCCCCCCCATCCAATTTTAGTCATTAATTGCAGAAGCCCATTTCGACACGAATTTCAAGCACATTTCTAGCTCCCGCTAGACGTTTGGGAACGGTATTCCCACTCCCTCTTGAAAAGCTCGTGGGAACATTGCTCCCACATTGAAAAAAAGTATGGGAAAGCCGTCCACACCCGTTCTCACTACCTTTCTTGCTGCAAATAGCCATTTCTCTGTTGGTCTCCGGACCTGCGTTTTACGAGTAGATGGCACAAGTAAAAGGACCACTAGTAATTGAAGGTTTTCAGGGGCCACATTAGGGTATGTCAAAACAACCAGGAAAAAAAAGGGGAAAAAGCTCTTTAAATTGTTAAAATAACTGACATGTACAGTATCGTACTTCTGAAAATATCTGACTAGGCTGTTTCTTATACAGTACAAGGAATACTACCTTCTGGTAAGGGAATCCCACATTCAGGGTGTTAGATCATATGTTACAATAAGATGAGTGGAAAGAACTTAATTAGGTCAACTAAGGCTTCTCCTCCCCTCAGAGGACCAGACGAAATCGGCTTAGTGCAGCCAACCTCGACTTAAAGGAATCGTCATATTCTGCGGGCTGGAAACCATAGGGTGATCGGAAGACCTCCGCGAGGTCTACTAAGGCTATCATATTCGAGCGAGACGAACCGGTAAGAACAAACTGGTAAAAAAAAAGACCAGACCAGGAGACGTGATATGATGTGGGGCTTCTTAGGAAGAAAATGACTTCTAGAGACATTACGAAGCAAAAGCAAAAGCCAGATGATTCAGCTGATCAGCTGCTACCTAGACCGTGAGGAAATGCCAATGTATTTTGGCGAATCAGTCAGGACTCCAAGTTAAGTTTATACGAGTTTTATTATTATTATAAATGATGCAGTGGTGAAGAACACCGTGGAGACAAACTACAATGGCGTGACATTATTTTTGCTACCTAAAGTACTGTCGTGATTTGAACCTCTGAAGCTCTCGGTCGATGCTTTGACGTTGATGCTTTAGCATGGAACCCTACATAGGTCATTTGATCTCCTGATCTACGTCGTAGAAGAAAATACTACCCAATAAAAAAAGGTAACAGACGAACCATACCTTGATATATTCAGGGATATCTTCGTCGTCCTCGTCAGGAGTCTCTCCGGAGACGTCTTCACCCGAAGAATGCCATCCGGATCCTTCTTGGCCGAATCCCCCAGCCATCATCTCTCCCGATCCTTCTCCATCATCTCCTCCTTCGCCTCCTCCCACTGCCCCTTCCAACGTCGTCACCTGCTCCGTTCATGGAGTACATACATAATCATAATCCTCTTCCTTCAGAGAGTCAGGGTGGAGCTTTGGGATCAAGGACCTTGTAGAAGAGAAGCATGAAGTTAATGCAGAAGGCCAAGACGAGTGCAACGTATTTCAGGTTGTAGAAATTCCTGGCAAGGAAGCTCTGGCAAGGGAAGCATAAAATTACCAATCCTAATACCAAGATAGGAAGAAGCAGGGGATTTGTAAGTGATGTGGAGACGTACGACGACTTTCTTCGAATATTCGGCGAGGTCGAGTTTAGCGACGGGAGGGGGTTCAGAGTCGACTTGGGAAGAGCTTTGTTCCGCCTTGTTCCTCTTCTCATCCTCGGCTGCCAAGGCTGCCACTTGATCTTGGGCCTCTTGCCACCCAGGTGCCACCGGATCTTCCCCAGGCATCCCCATCGTCATCCCCAACAGGCTGACAATCATCAAAGATCCAGGGTGATTGAATGGTGAGGGAGAAGAGTGAAGAGAGGATAGGCCTAAAGGCCTGTGTATACCTGGTGAGGGTCTCAGCGGGGTTGAGAGGGGAGGAAGAATGTTCGGGCTCGGAGGTTCCTGTCCCTTCCTTCCCTCCTCCCCCCATACCCAGTCCTGTCACCGTTCCTCCTTCACCTTCCCCAATCGTCCTACATTCAGTCAATGAGGAAGGATGTTACTCGTTCTCAAACCTCCTTTTCCTTAGGAAAAGAAAGGATTCGTACAATCCGTCGGGAATGTTAGTGGTGGGATCGAGAGAATGAGATGTCACAGGACCAGCTGGACCCGGGGAGCCAAGGGTAGTGGAAGCAGTCGCTGCAGCTGCTGTGGGGTCATCGGGGGACGGTAGGGAGAGGGCAGGTGGCATTTTCTTGAACGAAGAAGAAAGGATGAGGTTGGGATCGAAGTCTAAGTCACTCTTGGTACGCTCCGTCTCTTCCGTCGGGGGTCCTCTCATTAAGCCTCCCACGACCGACGCAAGTCGTCTAAACACAGCAGATACGTATCCGTTACCTTCAGAGTCTTATCACTCACTACCTTGGAAATCTCCTATCCCCAGGGAATGAAAGGGGAACTACTCACTTTCCGATCCAGTATGCAGTGGAGACGAAGAATACGAGCAGGAAGTAGATGAATCGGAAATAACTGATGATGAGCTCAGGCCAGGTCTTCTGCCGAGCTTCCATGATCTTCAAACGAATGTTGGAAGGCGACAGCACGGAAATTCCCTTAATGAATTTCTCCTTCACCGAACTGACCTTCTCTGTGATCGCCACAGTTGCTCCCCTTTGATAGCAGGGATTTTGATTACAGGATAACAGGAGAACGAAGCGGACAAGAACGTGACAATTATTTTTTTTAAATAAACTGAAATAAACTCTTCCTCATCCATAGAGAAACTTGACATGGGTTTCTCACTGATTTCAATTCGGCTATTGTAGCAATTATTGAGGATATTGCCATCGTCATTATAGTGAGATAGATAACAAGAGTGATACAGTCGACGCTTGCCATTACGAAATTCAACTGGGGTCGTTTTCCCTTCGTAATAACGTATTTTCGTTAAAACGTTATGACGAAATTTTGAAAAGTATTAATAAAATAAAGCTTTCGCTATGCCTGAAGATGAAGTAGAGCAAGACATGGGCACGACAAATCGAATGCGCAATTAGTTGATCGTCTGCTCATGCGTTAAGGTAATACGTATCCTGCTAAAATTAAAACCATGTTCCCTCTCCATTATCGGCTTGTTATAAGACATTGCTGTCTTATAACAAGCCGAGGGAGAGGGCACCAAAACTTTGCAATTTCGTTATGAAAGCTTGTTTATGGCGATTGGTACAAGGAATTTATCTTCGTTTCAAGGTATATTTCGTATTATTGTAATTCGCAGTGGCGTAGGGAAGGGGGGGGGGGNCTCCCCTTTGATAGCAGGGATTTTGATTACAGGATAACAGGAGAACGAAGCGGACAAGAACGTGACAATTATTTTTTTTAAATAAACTGAAATAAACTCTTCCTCATCCATAGAGAAACTTGACATGGGTTTCTCACTGATTTCAATTCGGCTATTGTAGCAATTATTGAGGATATTGCCATCGTCATTATAGTGAGATAGATAACAAGAGTGATACAGTCGACGCTTGCCATTACGAAATTAAACTGGGGTCGTTTTCCCTTCGTAATAACGTATTTTCGTTAAAACGTTATGACGAAATTTTGAAAAGTATTAATAAAATAAAGCTTTCGCTATGCCTGAAGATGAAGTAGAGCAAGACATGGGCACGACAAATCGAATGCGCAATTAGTTGATCGTCTGCTCATGCGTTAAGGTAATACGTATCCTGCTAAAATTAAAACCATGTTCCCTCTCCATTATCGGCTTGTTATAAGACAGCAATGGCACCAAAACTTTGCAATTTCGTTATGAAAGCTTGTTTATGGCGATTGGTACAAGGAATTTATCTTCGTTTCAAGGTATATTTCGTATTATTGTAATTCGCAGTGGCGTAGGGAAGGGGGGGGGGGTTTAGGGGGTCAGAACCCCCCCCCCCCCCCCCCCCCCCCTCTTGACAGTGACACGCTNCCCCCCCCTTGGGCTTCCTGGTCAGTGACAGACAGGCATATTTCAGCCTTCCTTGGGAATTCCAGTTTTAGCTATCCCCCTTCCGAGGAAAGTCCAATTTCCATCCACAGACCCAAGATGCCAGACCACGATTTCTTCAAAAAGGTAAATTCCGGGTGGTGGAACTAAGCGTAGGGTTGGGGTGTCTACTTGGCCTCAATCCCCCCCTTGCCGATTTTCTGCCTACGCCACTGGTAATTCGTTACAACGTTTTATAATTTCTACAGGGAGATGCTGGGCCAACCAAATGTTGATACAATTTTTGTTAAATGGTGTTTTTCGTTAAAGCGTACTTCGTTATAACGAGCGCCGGCTGTAATACTGTTTCCCATGTCACTGTGAAACTCGCGAGCGCTGGAGCAGAATAATTTTCCCTCATCCTAAAACACGATATCATACCAGACCATAATATAATGACGTTAAATCTTTATAATCTTGACGTTAAGTCTTTATAATGACGTTAAATCTCATCCTGCAATGACGCTAACCTGGATCCCCCAAAGGATTGGCATTCGTATGTGGTGGTGTAACTAGGGAGAGCTAATGCGGCCTGCCGATGAACTGAGAGGGAGCAGAAGGAATCGTCATGTGGATATTCTGTCAAAAAGCTTTCGTTTCCTCTTTCGTCTGGCGTCTACATGAACGCACCAGTTCCGATTCAATTTTTCATTCATTCACGTTGGCGCAACTGCGAGAGAGACGTGAAGAACGTACTCTCATTGAACGGAAATTTCGGTTCGTCAGCTTGTCAATTAAATAAAACTTAAGAGTCAATAAATTTACAACCGAAGAATGGTGGCGAAAGCTCCTACTGGCAAGAGTTCGTGCGGACAAGTGAAATCAATCGCTTCATATCTTCTCACCAATTTCTGTCTCTGTCATATAAGCATTTCCATCCTTGTTCCTCTCAAGGAAACAATGGAAGCACTAGTCGCATGAGTGACTAGATGCCGGACTCGATTGGAATAATTTTTTTGACATTGGAGACATTTTAATGTTTCAAGTCATTGCAGACACTGTTCCCTCGTCCCCTTGTTTTGGAGGCTTCATCTCTCATGATTTTCGATCTGTTTTGTACTGAAGGGTTTTAGATATCTAGTCCTCATGCAGTTTTTTCAGTGCTACGACAGAGACAGAGATAATCAAAGAGGGAATGTTTGGAGCGCGATGAGCATTACTTTTCTTCCTCCCCTGCAATGGTGATGGGGCTCTTTGCAGCCTTGGGTTTCTGTTCCTTGTCTTCCCCTCCTTCCATCAAAGAGGCTGCATGCTGCATCTCAAAGATGGCATCTTCACAGAAATTCACAAAGGCTTCTAACTTCTCCTTGTCTCCTCCTTCTGTCACGATCGAGTAGAAGAAGGCCCGCTTCGATTCCTGTAAATATCCCAATATTTCTCTTTCTTTCCCCCTTCTTTTTTATTTATTTACATAGAGATGCGTGACCAAAGAGGGGAGGAAAACATACTTTGATCTGAGGCTTTTCCCACTGCTCGATATTGTCCTCGTTGATTTCAAAGTAGACCCGTTCAATTTTGTGAGACCCTCCCATGATCTCGATTCGACCGAGGAATGCCTCGAAATAGTTGAGCACCGACGCTGCCGTCTCCAGGAATCGGTTCAATCTGAGCGAGGAAACGAATTAGGTTCCTTCGAATTCTTCCAATTCAAGGCTGGGATATACCTGTAGTAGTAAAAATTCACCTGGGGTCATTTGGCATGTGTTCTGAGAGATTGGTGAGGAGTACGGCCAGGTTGAATCCGATTTCCTTGGCGGGTTCGTGGAATCTCTCAGTGAACTCCACGTAGTCGATTTTCCCGTCCACGTTTGTGTCCACGCACGACAGAATGTAGTTTATCTCATCGCTATACATACCATCCACAATCTCATTTTTCGCTCAGTTTCTTTGGAAATCTTTGAATTAGCTATGATAGTGGGGAACATGGACTACACTCACGGAGTGTACATCTTTTGTTGCTCCATTTTCTCTCGGAATTCCTTCGGAGTCACAAGTCCCTCTCCTGTCTTATCCAGTTCCTAATTTATCCCAACAATAAGTTTTTTAAAATAAAAATTTGACAGAAGACGAGAGGGAAAATATTGGTTGAGGTCACACTTGGAACGAAGCTGAAGACGTGAGATCCTTGAGCTTCAGGAACATGTCGAAAAACTTCAGGATCATCTGTAAAGCAAAAAAGACATAAATATGCAGTATTAAGGAAAGTATTGAACCTTGGAGGGGTGCAGGAGAATTACCTCAACGTTGGCGGCGGATTCCACGAGGGTGTCCACCATCTGCTTTCCGATCGTCCCGTTCACCACGTTTCCTATGTAAACAATACTTCCAATGTGTCTATTTTTCGATGACAGTGTCCGTGAGTATGAAACCGTCTTTCCATGCAAACGATACCTTCAAGCATGGAAAGCATCATGATGACCATGTCCTTCTGGAGACTGAGGAGTTCCTTGAGGAGATCCACCTGACTCGAGTGTTTCGACAGCTTGTCTTGCATGTTGGCAAAGAGAAACATAAAACCCCCGACGGCATCCCACAACCTGGAAAGAAGAGACAGGTCAGAATGTGCCGCAAGAGATTGAGTCACACTTGATTGAGGACAGACCTGGAGTGGGCAAGGGCCTGTTGATTGAGGGTACAAGGACCTTGAATGACCTCTGTCAACGTGTTAAAAACCTGACTCGCCACTCCGATCGCCTTGAAGAAATTCAATTTACCCGCTGGATCGATCAATTCCTTGCTCGAGTAATGCCAGTAGAAGTCCATGATGGATTCCTGGCGAAAATGAAGGAATATTTTTTTTCGTTCAATCTGTCCCTTTTTTCCGGATTAGGAAGAAAAGGAAGGATCGAACTTGAAGTCGAAGGAGATAATCGACGGTGCAGATGACCACATTCACCGTCGTAGTGTTTCCTGCTTGGGTTCTCAGGTAGTTCTGCCAGTCTAGAAGGAGCGAAGAAAATGCCATTCATGGTAGAGGGTTCGTTTAGAAATGAGGGAGGAAGAACAGGGAGGAGGAGAGACCGAGGTTATGTCCTTCGCAGGTGAGTTGGATGAATCGGAAGAGAACACAGGTGAAATCAGCATCGTGCATGTTTTTCTGCCCAGCGGCTCCTTCACTCCCCACCCCAAGACCTTCCGCTTTCGTGTTCCTCTCGAACGCGTCCAAATCCAGTACGCTGCAAAACAAAAGTGAAAGTGTGAGACCTCCTTCAGTTCCAGCTTTAGATCTTGAACTGATCTTGAATTTAGATAAGGGTCGACAGAGACCTGCAGGAGTTCATGAGTCCCGCAATGGAAGTGAAGAAGCCGACATCCTTTTTCTCCTTCAGATGATTCAGCATCGCCTACGCAGGAAAGAATTTGTGGATTGTTCCACGAAAAGTACCAGAGCAGAGTTTTTCTCCGAAATGAGTTTTTCTAGGAAGGATCTTTCTCAGTATAATGTTTCTTAGGAATGCACTTTTCGAAAGTAGCTTACTCCAAAGAGTGCTTCCCTGATCATCCCTCGAGAGGAAATAAATTTAGCTCTTAAAAAGGACAACATTTTCTCAACTGATCCTAAACGGAGTATCCCACTCACCTAAGTAACAATTGGCATAAAATGGGGATAATGCCCTTTTTCGAGTCATGGTATCACAGAAAGTCATCTGTATAGAACTGGTCTGCAACCGGCGCTCGACATTTGAAGTTCACTCTTTGGTTTGAGTCAATTGAAGAAAGAGGGATGGAGTTTCCGTCCTTCCCATCCACTTCATCTCCTGGATGGGCGCGCATATTATTTTAATAAGGATGAGGACGGAAGGAGGCATTGGGGAGTTCAGCATGCAGTATTCGGCCAACTGCAAATCCAGGGGTGTCGCAAGTTGGGAGGGGGGGGGGGGATTTCCCATGACAACTCTGCCAATAACCAGGTGGCTGACACAGCAGGGGCAGAAGTAAGTCAATGTACCACGTACCATACTTTTTCTGATACCATGGTGATTGGATGCCTTTCATGTAGGGTATTCTTATGATCCACAAGATGACACACAATATTTAGTCCTCCTTTGGTACTCACAGGTATAGCATTAACAAGAATAGCTTTTTATTTCTAGAAAGTTCATTTGATTGTTTGTTTGGAGAGATGCCATTGCCATTTTTTAATGTTCACCTTCAGTATTTATGCACACTTGCAACCTCTGATCTGCCAGTTTTAATCCCATTCTATTCTATCCGCAATGGCTCTAGTGCCGGAGAGATATATGTGTCCATCGCTACATGAATGCAGGTATTAGTGATAAAGAAAAAATGAAAAAGGAGAAACTCCCCGCTGAACTGCGCTTATTCCTTTCATTACGAAGATAAGCGAGTGGAGGTTGCCGTCTTTCATCGGGGATGCATATCGGTCCTGGAGGCTGTTAGCTTGAAAATATGAGCGCTAATCTGACAGGAAAATGATCGTGCGTTCGTTCTCAGCTGAGCGCTTGTTTAATGGAGGCACCCTGAATTCAAGGAGAGAAAGCTGAATGCCTCACATGGTTGCATTTCATTAAGGGGTGGTTGCAATTGTTGGAGAAAAGGGAGGAGAAAAAATAAGTTGGGAGGTATATTGAAATTGAATAGCAGGGAAGAGAGGGGATATCAGCGTCTGATCTTGAGACGTCAGACAGGAATTCTTCGAAAGCTGTAAGAGTCTGCCTTTGCTTCGTGGTCTGTATGAGTTTCTCTGGACTCGCTGAAGTCCAGACACATCCTTCAGCCTCAGGTTAAAGAAGCATATAATAATCTAACCTGGGTTCTGTTTGAATTCAGTAAATGAGAAATGGAGATACATAGCTGCTTACGATAATCCCTTTCATTCGCTCCTTCCCTTCGTGAGTCTTTGCGTGACGGCTTCAGCCTTGCAGATTAACTCAATCACAGACATGCCTGAGAATCGCCTTAAGAAAGTACACTTAATCTTCACCTCTTATAATTTTTTTCGCCAGACTAGGGGTAATCAAGATGCGATTGTTAATCGAGCTCAGAGGGGGAAAGAACCATGACCAGGAAGAGCCATTGTTTGGTATCTTAGCAAACCCGATGGAGGAGGAGCGATGGCATTACCCGCTGTCGCGAACCTGGAGAGAACAGCGAGGAAAAGAAAATACGATATCCCCCTCTTGCATTCCAGAGCAGATTGTGATCTTGGGGTCAAAATCTGTCAGTTTCTATTATACGACAGGTGAGACAAAACCGGATGCTCACCTCCATTCAATCCAACGTGAGGAAGACTGATGACAGCTTAATAATTTATTTTGGACAACCATTCCTGAAGGATGAGAATGGCCACTGGCTGTGGCCATCCTCTTGACTGGTTACTTTTTTTTTACAGGGAAGTTTCCGGCGTGGAAGCACCCGCACGCGGATCTATTCTTCAGGAAAATTATCGAGCTGGAAAATTGGACGAATCAAATCTAGAAATTTTGTCATAAGAAAAATCCGTTTTGGGGTGATCTCTTTCGAAGAGTCATTTGTTAGAGGAATGACCTGACACGACTGGAGAGAGAGAAAAAAAAATCTGAAGACCTTTCCTTTTCTTTCCAGGAAAGCCATTTACCATTTGGATGTCGAGGTTCCCGCCGCGAAGGATGGAGATGCCGAGCTTGAGGGTGTTGAGGACGAGGTCGGTGGGGATGCCTTTACAGGCAGAAATATAAAGGAGGACCATCTCCGCTGCTCCTCTCTCTGCCAACCGACTCTGATGAAACAATAACTTCTGCTTCTCCTGCTCTTGCTCCTGCAAATACACGACACCTCAGGTCCCTCCACCATTCACCACTATTATCATCATCCAGTTCTTGGATCTCATACAACTACAGTGTGAGCCATATTAACTCATACAAGTTTCAATAGTAGTTTTTAGAGTTCACGAGAGTTCAACTCAATCTCTTATCGACTTATTTGTTCCAACTGACATGGATACAGGGCATGGTAAGACCAACGACTTTTAATCCGCATCACTCTACTTTTACTGGAGATATTTCTGCGAAACTTGCACTGTGTATACAGTAGATTCACAAGTTCCTAACAGAAGTTTGTGTTTTCATCCAAATTGATTTTCCCATAGCAAGGGAATCAGTAATTATCCAAAATAAATCTGAAATTGAAAACGGACAGGGGACTTCGAACGCTTCGAACAGACGAAGCACTATAGAGTGCTTCGTCTTCCTGCCTAGTTCTCTAACGAAGACCAAGAGGAAATCCGAATGAACTTTGAGCAAATTCTTTGTTTCGATACCTTTTGATTCACTCGTCATTGTCATGATGAACCTTACTCCAATCTAAAAGAAAAGCCGATGCAAGAAAAATGAATTTCAATGGAAGAGAGTTCGATGTAGCCTCGATGATATGGAAGCAGGGTAATAGAGCGTGTTCTCCACTTCACTACCAGCACGAGTACTTGTCCATCTTCCAACTTCTCTATAATTATTGCTCATAGCCTTGCTTTGGAGAAATGAATTTGGAAAGAAAAAAATATATATATATATATTGGATACATATCCATTATGCATAGTGAACTTTTTGTGAAAATAGCTCCAGTGAGAGCAGAGATATACTGGTTTAAATTCGTTGGTCTTTTATGCCATACCTTGTATATTGGAGAACAAAGATTTTATATTGTGCTATTTTCTAGTTAACATTAACCCTTTCAGGGTTGAGTTACAAAATACGTCGAAAAAATGCATTTCGAAATCATAGGGTAGTTATGGTTCATACAATGAGATACTGAAAGAATTTCACAAATGTATTTATCAACTTAAAAAAAATACAGCCATGATGCGATAAGGCATCATACGCCTAGAAAGGGTTAAGGATGTCTTGAAGTTGAGGCATGCGGCTGTGATCGAGCAATTCCAAAATTTTTCGAGCTTAAGAACCATATTTCGGTCACAACATGACAGTGGACACAAGCAGGACTTCGTTTACTGCTCTCCCTGGCGTTATCATGAGACTGGGTGCCAATAACAGGAAGCACAACGGCTGACAATGTTCTATTCACACATCGAAGCTTGTCAAGCATGTGAAGCCGCGGATAAGGCAGAAATCGACGTTCAGGCTGGAAATTGACGATTGAGATGGATACCTCGGACACAATCATGGGGCGAATGCTGAAACACGACCTTAGGTTGAAGCTTTTAAGGATGTGAAAGGCTCAAGTGCGCAATCAACAAAGCTAGCCAGACATTTTTCCCGAGCCCGACAGAGTAGATCACATTCTGTTTTCCTGAGAAGTTCTACGTGGAAGCAAACCGGAACATCCAGAATAACAGTCTATGGCGAAAGGAATCGCCTTAGGGTGTGAACCAGATGCAGACACATCATCCGGAGTCAGTGATGCCTTTGGTTGGAATGTCCGCCTTTGGCAAGACTTCCCTGGGTTTTTTTTCGGATCAAGGGATCAAAACTCAAAAGGATATCAATGTGGCGAACATTCTTTCTTGAGCCTCATGTGTGCCCCATGACTCAGGATTTGTCCAACAATGAGGAATGGTAGTTCCAGAAGAATTCAGCACCTGCTCACAAGGCGAACATGACTTAAAACTGGTGCTGGGACAATTTTCTGGGCTTTATGTCCACTGCTCTATGACCTGCCTCCTCAACTGATTTCAGTCAGCTCAACTACTCAGCTTGGTCCAAGTTGGAGCAGATGGCCTTTACTAAGAATCATGCAAGTGTGGATTCTCTGAAGAGCACTTTGGCGAAAGCTTGGAACAATATCCCCATGGAAGGTGTTCCATAATCCATAATCCATGGCTGGCGAGGAAGATTGTCAGCCTGTGAGAAGGCCAAAGGCAGTGTTTTTGAAGTTTTGATTATTATGTGAATTTCATGTAATAATACATATTCTCGACACATTCTCGAGGTTTTCGCCTCTTGTGTCTCAATATCGGTATTCATAAACCGGAAGCATTTGTATGAGTTGTTATGACTCATCCTGTGGATCGATTCCCGTCATGGATTTCTTCTTCGGATTATACAGATACACTACGTCCAAATGCTCGGCCTCTGGAAATTCTCCGGATATAAAACCATCCAACTCACACATCTCTACTTCATCTCCCACCTGATCCAGGATATGTGAAACCCGTTGGGGAGTATTTCTTTGGCCTACGTAACTTTTCGCGGCACTCTGTCACCAATAGACTGAAGCTGTCCCCGACGGGAAGGACAGAGACAGAGGAAAGAAGAATTAAAAAAAAACGGACAGCGATGGAGGCCTCTCCTTCCTCTCCTCCTTCTTCGTCACCTTCCTCTTCCTCTTCTCCACAAGACTTAGCCATGATCTCAGCGTATTTCATGTACAGGTGGTCCTCCTCTCCGATCCCTGGGGAAAAGAGCGATTCCGATTTCCCGAGTTCTGTGATTGTGATTTGCGCAAGTGCAAGCGCTAAGAAGAACATCTAAGACTGATCGCGAATACCAGAGGCGGCTTCCGTAGTCGCCTGTTGAGAGAAGGCCCTGATGAGTTGGGTGACTGGGTCCGCCTTTCCTTCCTCTTTCACTGCTTCTGCCTTACGCCTCTCCGCCTCCTCGAACGTCATCTATCGCAATCCAACTTGAATGTAATGCATCCTATCCTTGACATTGAAAGGAAAAAGGAGTCAGTGAAGACTGACGGTGAGATCTTCGATGACGACCTCCTGTCCCACATTCTCATCCTCCAGCCACAACCCTGCATAGGATCTCAGGAAAAGATTGATGGCTCGATGTCTATAAACAAGTAAGACGGGAGGTAAACGGGAGGTAAATGAATTTTCTTCTTCCGGAAGGAGGAGAGTGAAGAAAACATACGTGGGAAGGGAATGAAGGGAGGTCTGTCGAAAGCAGGCGATCACAGCCTTTTTCCTTTGAACCGAAAGAACTTTCCGTCCAGAACTCTTCCCCTCGGCTTGAGGGTGATCGATCTGAAGAATACGCCACAATTATTTAGACCACTTTTTCGAGTTTACTTTCCGCTCTTTTGAGACGTTTCAGTTGATGTCGTACCATGTGAAGGCCGAAGAGGACCTTGGCCATGGCGATGATGCGCTCCACGAGGGCATCCAAGGCTTCGGGTTTCATGGAAGAAGTGACAAAACCAAATGACCCGGATGCAGGCTTTTCTGTGCTTTCCCCTCGCCGGCCCAGCTTTGAATAGAGATAATGCTGCCAGGACATAGCATCCGAGGGATCGATCTTATCCGGCAGGGTCAACTGGATCTTGGCGAATACTTGGATCTGTCCATCCTGTTCCTTGTTCTATATCGTATGTTCGACCGAAGATTTAGAGATATGCCTTGATCACGAGAGAGACAGGAGTGAAAAAAGAACCGACGAGGAACTTGTCCTTGCAGTGCTGTACGAGCTCTTGTTCACGTCCGGCGAAGAGATTCAGTCCGACGGGAAGGAGTCTCTTGAGACAGGCCACAATCAAGCTGCTCGCCTTCTCCTTCTCCCTCTCCTTACCCTTGTCTCGCATCCGCTTCTTCTTCTGCATCATATCCACGACCATGACTAGCACCATGATCATGATTGTTGAGGGAAGGAAAAGTGAAAGAGGGAAAGAAGAAGGAAGACTTGCCCTGGCCTTTCCCTGTCCTCCCGTGCCTTGATCGGGCACGGCTGCGGTCCTTCGCGCCGAAGATGTCGGCATGATCAACGTCATGTTGTCGATCTCATTCTGGCTGATGAAGTTCTGCTCTTCCCGGTGGAAAAACTAACGGAACGAGAAAATCAATTGTTTCTGAACTTAGATAGAACTCATACAAGAATGAGAGAGGAATGCGAGAGAACCTGGGATTTAGACCAAATGTTGAAGATTTCGGAGACGTGAGAGTACAATTCCTCCGCTTCGACTGTGGATTGTTTTAACCAATGAGACCGAAGAAGGTCCACGTACTTGATCAACAGTGGATAAAAGGCATAGATGTCTCTGACCAGTAACTGCCATTCTTCCTGCATCTGACTCTCCACCTGATTCAAGTGAAGCCTCCCAGAATTCCCGTGCAGGTCACGAATGAATTCAGGAAATGAGGGTCAATAAGTACCTGAGAGGTGTCTTCAGTGGAAGATTTGAGGAAACCCCTGAGGGACTCCTCTTTATGGAACATGGCATCCGTCCGTGCTCTCACTTTTTGTGCCAAGGGAAGGTATGGATCTGCCAAAAGGGCCTCCGAACTATTGATGATGATCTGCTGGGTGTAAGCTGCGAAATCAGTACATCCCATATTGCTCAATTTTTCCCTCAGAAAAAAGATTCAAACGATTGTTTTAGAACCATCGGTATTACATGCTATCCGGATCATCCAGGGAGAGTTTTCCGACCCAATGTTGTTTTTGATGAGGTCCAGAATGCATTTTAGGAGTTTGTTCAGGTGATCGCTGGTCACTGATGTCATGTGACCCCTGGAAGACGTTAAAAAGGTAAAGAAAACTGATATTGATGGACTGTGAAAGAGTACGGAAGTGAGTCAATAATATTAAGAATTATACCCCTCGGTGGGATCTACATTGTCAGGTCCCTGATTCCACCAGAAGGGCAAATAAGCGCAGAGCATCGGAAGGAGGAGATCCACGATGTGAGGAGATTTCTCATATTGCCCGCCTGAAGTGATGAATTCCTCTACTTCATGTACGATCGTCTCCATTGTCGGCAGGCTCTCTTCCAAGTGGGCCATCACCTCTGTAGGATAAAACGAATTGGAAAAAAAATTTACTCCAAGAAGACACCCTCCTTCTAAGTCCAGCAGCGTTAAAATGATGAGTAACTTGCCCTGTGCCTCGAGGGAATGATCCTGCAATTTGCCATGAATGGAATAGGGATTGTATTTGTTCATGGAAGGTTCTAGGAAAGCGACGGGGAACGTAGCTGCAAATGCCCCAAGGCATTGCCCCACAGCAGGTCGATGTCTCTCCAACTCACTCTTTATATACTTTCTAGTTTCACGTTCAGGAAAATAATTAAAATGCACATCAACGTTCCAGCAAAATTTTTTTAGAGACTAACTAGGGAGATATGGTAAACGGACCTGCCGTGACTCAGATCGTATTTGCTGCCTAGGGTGAAGAGGCTCTTGAGGATCTTATAGCATGCCACCTGGATATCATCCACTGCCGGAGTGAGAAACAAACATTCCAATGACATCGAGGAAGTTTGATTACATTCGCTTCAATAGATGGAGAGGACAGACAGAGAAGGTCGGATCCAAATTCGTTGGCTCCGAGATGGTCGAATAAGGCAGTAAAAACCGGGAGAATCACCATGTAGACATAGTTGAGAGACGATGACGTCTTTAGGTGAGTGCCCAGCACGTGACTCAATCGCCTCTGAAACAAAGGAAAAGAGAGGGGAGGGGATAATTGATTTCAAAAATGGCCTGAAAGAGAAGAGGGAATCCAAATATGGAACTCACGTGCTCGAGGTGAGAGACAGTTTGGCAGAGATCATCGGCCGAATTGTTGAAGAATGTCAACATGGAAGTTCTCACGAACTCGGGGCAGTTCTTCACCAGAGACCTGAGGGTATACGTAGTATCACCTTCAGAGGTATCCAGCCATCAAGGCCGAGGAGCAAGGCTATTTCAGATTCGCCTATTTCACAATTCACGTATTTTGTCCAATTTGACTACAAATTGGAAGTAACGCCCGCATTAAATGGTTTTTCTGGCATTGAACGATTTCATCAAACAGTTTAAGGTGTTTGAAACTGCATGCAGTTGCTGTAAGGGTAGCAAACTGGGAAGTTGGTCGAAAAACCTCATGTAACATTTTGCGTTATGTTTTGCTCATCGACATCAGTTTGAGCTGATGTCGATGAACTCTTCGCCTAGAAGTCCTGCCCCTCCTGGACAGGTACGCACTAACCGCCACTGGTAATTATGGGAGAACTTTGAGGTAGCTTTGAGGTTGTATGCCATAGCTGAAGTCTAGGTACCTAATTGAGTGTGACTGCGCTCATGGGGCTCAGATGCAGAAGACCAAGGTGCAGCATTAGGTCGTAGTCGACTATTTCAGACTACATTATCTGTAGTTGCTTCTAAGTGGTGGTATTTTGCGCAGGAATACTTGGAACTTTATTTAGATTTTTTGCGGCAATTAAACGCCGTTAGTTGAACAGGTTTTCCAGAAAATATTAATTTTGGAAGAAGCAAGTTGTTGCATTCCAGAAACTGAGGCCTTTCGTCTATTAACTGTGGATGAGACTGAACCGAGAATGACGATGCGAAAATTGACTCTATGTAATATTGGAAAATAAAAAGGAGCCGTATGCTCATATGACAATACTGCCATGTCAGTGAGGTGATTCTTTTGGCAGTTGAACTATTTTCTTAGTAGTTTGCTTGAACTAACACCTCCAAACAGTGGCTTGTGGTATAGGTGAACCACTTTTGGAGATACCTAATTTAATTGGACTACAAATTCTTCAGCATTTGCTCCATACTGCACAGATGTGACTGTAGAAGAATGTGCGCAGCGTGTAATGTGGATATACGGGAACGTCAGGCGGGCAGAGCTGGCACCCTTAATTCAACAAACCCCACATATCTTCATCTGTCGCATTCCTCCAGATCCATCGCTTTTCGTTCCATGCGAGGGTGTAATGCAAACAATACGGTGATTCATATGTTATCAGTTATATATGAGCCCGGGGGAGGGGGAAACATTCTCCGATCCCTTCTTAACGTTCGAAGATTAGAGGACAAGTGTGGCTTATTGATCAAGAATGGAACGAGGAAAAAAGGAAAGAAATATGATCATTTTCATGGCGACACTTCACACACTCGGGATCAAATTCACGAGACGGCTAGAGCTCTACATTCCCTCGATCAGTCGTCGGAGCTTTTTCACCCATTCTGCTATTGAAAGAGGGGGGAAGAGAAGCGAGGACTCACTTGGCATCAGTAGCCCGTACTAGGACTTGAAGACACTTCACCGTCAACGGTGCATTGCTGCCAAACATCCCGTATTTTGATCTCAGTGAATTCGCCAATCGGCAGAAGAGGCTGCAAACGGATGTAAAGGGAACGGAAAATTGCAGATTTATATTATGATGCAGGGCTAAGAGGAATTTTACAATAGAAATCAAAAGTGCGGAGAGACCTGGCAACCATTTCCTTCTCCTTGAGACTGGCAGCCCCGATGGATGTGGTAGCCGTCGCAACGCTGATGAAGTAGTTCTTGTGGGTCACAAAATACTTCTCGATCAGAGGCAACACCACCTACGGCATGATTAGTCCAAACAATGAGAACGCTGTGGTTACTTGCAGCCTCTTAAAAATTGTCAAAAAGGGAGAGAATAAGACAAAAATAAGAAGTGGGGAACCTTGAAGAAGAACTTGACGTCTTTCTTGGCACTCTTGAAGGAGTTGCGTCGACTGTAGGTCTGAGACGGTCTCAGCAGCTTCATGTGAATGGCAGCGGAATCCAAATATTGGAGAAGTTTTTGTAAGAGGGAATAAGCGAATCGTCTCTCGATGGCCGCATTCAAGTCAGCCGGTGCATCAGCGTTCTCGTCCGTCTGAGTCGGTGTCAATGCTCCCCTCCTGCCGAATTACGTCATCGACATACTTTAAAATCTTTAAAAAATAGACCATAGACCTCACCGAATGACAGAAAGAAGGAAGACTTTGACGGATCTTGAAGAGGACGGACCTTCGGACTTTGAAGCCCTGATATTGGATGTACTTGAGGAGCTCGATGGCCCGTTCCCGGTCTTTCCTCTTCTCGTTGTCCGTCAGTAGGTCGTAGGGCACCAGCTGTGGCGAGATCAGTCCTCCTATGCAAAAGATAGACAAAATTTCTTATAATCCGGGGCTTTGGAAAAATCCACGCGAGAAAAAAGAAATAAGTATTCTGTCGGACCGCTGGCCTCGGTCTCCTCCTTTCTCTTCTTGGCCCAGATGTCATGGGCATCCTCAGCAAGTCTCTCGGCCATGCTTTGCATTTCACGACTCAATGTCAAGTTCGTCATGTCCAGAGGATGCGGCTGATAATTGTGCGGATTCGTCCCACTGCTCTCCCCTGCCGTCTGGATCCAAAAAAAATTCCATCCGACACGTCAGTTATCAACGACCAAAGATGGATGCTCTGAATCATGATACTGCTGTAAAAGAAGAGAATGAGCTGTATGAATATAACGGAACAAGAAAAACGAGACCAAGTTGAGCCTGGAAGGACCGGTGAGGGTGCCGAGAGATGCCGTCTGTCCTCCTTCGGCTTCGATAGACCAACCCAATGCCAAAAGGGCCTTCAAACTGTTTCGAACAGGGTCTCGATACCTCTCCCTCTCCTGTTTCATACGATTCATTGATTTTTTGATCAATTGTGATTTTTTTTTCTAAAGGACCGAAACGATTCATTCCCTCGTAAGTAAACAAGTCGTACGTATTCGGAGAGCATGGAGTAGGGTTTGAGCCTGGGATGGGTCTTGTGTTCATCGTTCCACGTGTCCCCATATGCCCATCCGTTCTCCATCTTCCGAGCAGCCCAGGCATCGTGGTAATTCTCCGAGAACTTCTGAACTACGTCGTTCAGCTCTGCCGTCAGGGTCACCCTGTATGCGTCACCCCACTCCGTGAATTCGTGTCCACTTTTAGAGGAGAGATAGATGATGACGAAAACTTACCCAAGGGAGTCGATGGGTTGGGGCATGTATGGGCCGCCGGTCGCAATGGTTTGCTTGTAAAGATCCTCTTCAGCCGTGCTGGTCAACGTGTAATCGGGCGGCAATGCACAACCGATGGCGATCAGGCAAGGCAAGGAACTCCCAAACAAGTCAGGGTTGTAGTCCTGTAGACCGGAAATCAGGTTTTAGAAAAATTAGTTTCTTTCTATCCTCAAAAGTGATACGATGATAGAACGGGAATGGAAAAAGAAATTGCCATTTGAGCGAGGGAGTCGAAAATGTTGGTGAAGAGCATCATCGTAAGACGCTTTTCTTCGGCTGATGCTGAACCATAACTCCCTTGTCCTCCGTGGGCTCCATAGTACCTCCCACATCGGTCGAAATGTAGGGTCAGTAACTAGCAAAACCCAAACGGGACATTTATCCAAAGGCAAAGGGTTATTAACAGGTTACGCGAGAGAGAGAAAAAAAGGGTCTCACTCGGAGAGCCACTGTCGTGTATTCTGTCAACTGGGATACGTCAACCGTTAGTTTCCTCAGGAGTTTCAGCAGCATACTCGGCTGCATCTCCCTACATGGACCGTAACAATGTCATGAATCGATGAATTATCAGCACCCTGACAAAGGAAAAATTCACCGAACCGAGTGAGAGCGAGTAAGAAATCCGAAACTGCCTCCCGTTGACCCTTGGTCAAAAGCTCGTTTTTGGAGAGCCTGTAAACGGTGTGAAGAGTGGCATCCAAAAGAGACGAGTAAGAATCCGCTTCTCCATAGAATTTCGAATGGAAGATAAGGAGAGGGAGAACAGAGTTCCCAATGTAGCGATTCAGAGCCAGTGCCATGTCGGATTCTCCCCCATCTCCCTAGGGAAAAGCAGTTGCTATGAAATAAGGTCGATCAAACTATAATCTTCAGGATCGAAGAATCGAAACCACGAATAGGGAATGGACGAGGGAGCCGACCTTGTCGAGCATGGTGGCAGCCCTGAGATCTGGGAGAAAAGCTTCCTCGAGGAGTCTGAAGAAGAGTTCCTTCTCGTCCACGCCATAAACCCTTTCGAGGAAGAGGACGATGCTCTGCTTGTGAGCAGGGGTGAGGCCAGGAGGCATATCAGAGCGAGCCTGTTGGAGTTCACCATTGTTACCACCCGGACCGGAGGCAGTCAAGTTGAAACGGAGACTCAGCGTCCCCACTAAGTCCTCCAGGGGGACCAAGGAACGCAGGATCGCTCGAGCTCTTAGTGCTTCGTTCTTTCCCTACATCATCAAAGTATCCAGGATGCAAAGCAACTCATTATTCCAGACTCTTCGTTTCTTTCGGTCAGGAAGATGCTTTAATGTGTTGGAAGTTGGACAGGAAGCCGCCCAGCAGGGCCGGTGTCGTATATTCCCCCCCCCCCCCCGGTAATATTTTCCCTCCTTATTGGAAATGAAGGGAGTTCGTTTTAAAAAGTAGAATTGTAAGTTTGTTGATTGCCAAAAGATAATATAATCTTTATTGTGAGAAGAAAAATCCGCTGAGGAACGAAGCGAAGTTCCTTCATTTCCATTAATGGAGGGGGGGGGGGGGAATATTACAGGGGAAAAATATCATACACTGTTTTCGGATTGAATTGGTACCTCCCTACTGTGGAGAACGGAGAAAACACAAGCTTTCCAGACGATCCTCTAGATGTTAAGCCTGATGCTCCACATGGCTGTTGGATGGTTCTAAGAATACTTCACCTTCCATGCACAAGGTGTCCTGCCTGTGCGCTTGATGGAAGCGCTCCTAAGGGGAGGTACCAATTCAATCCGAAAACAGTGTACGACACCGGCCTTGTTATGGCGCCCTGTGCAAGGAGACTCCCCCGCCCGCTGAAGGGAGAAGGGTCAATCCCAAGCATTCAAAAAGACGCCGAAACGGAAGGCATTTTTACTTAGTGAAGTAAAACTGAGGGTGGCATCCATTATTGCTTCACTCATGCTGGCACGTTTTGGTATCCCTGATGAATCTGCGCCCTATGCGAGGGCACATGTGGCACATGCCTAAGGCCAGCCCTGGCGCCAATTAGGGTCATAGGGAGTATATGTGATAGCGTTTCTGCAGTTTCAACTTCGACCTTCTTCCGCACAACTTCTAATTTAAACGTAAAAGTCAAGTTGGGTGGAAATATGTGCTCATCTAATAGTAAATTGAGTTCTCAACAACTAGGCCCAATCTCAAACACATTTGGACATATGGCTATTTTATTGTTACAGTCTGTGGTATTACAACTATCCCACAACTTGTGGTAATTGTGATAACAGGAGGGGGAAAATGTGATATCTGATGTAAAAAGATATAAAGCTGTCTTTCATCGTGGCTAACCCTGAAAAGACAAAGACAGATTCCTCATTATTGTTCATAATTTTGTGAAAACTTTGAAAGAGTGTCATTCCTCCACGTTGATGAAGTCAAAGCTGTTCCTGAACGAGAGAATTCCTCCTCGACCAATTATCCGTTTCAACGTTTAGAAGAATTTATCAATATTTTCCGGAAGGACGCTGTCAATGCCCTGAACATCAGGCCATACGAATTTGCTATGATCATCCTTCCGTACATATTTCGCTCCACAATTTCTTTTAGCATACGAACAACTAGACCCAAATAATGCCTCAGTGATTCCTTTTCTTCATATCAGTGACGAGAACTCAACTTTGACTTTTGGCCTTTTTCATTCTTTCTGGCGAACGGGTTAATTTCATTAGGCTGTGCCTACTCACACTGGGCTTTGCCCAAGTGTCTTTAAAGGAAATACACTGGGCCTTGCCTTGTCTGAGGTACTTTACGATAATAGTAAAATAAGTGGCGCTTCAAATGCTTAAAATTTTAATCGGCAGAAACAAATTATCACAGGTTATTAAAATCGTGTAAGAATTTTAAATCACTTCTGCTTGCTTGGCAGAAGACTCACGGCTCTCCATGACTGAATCCCTAAGCAGGTGGTAGTTCTTCAACATTTTCGGCTATAATGTAATTTTACAGATTTTACAAGCTGATATCGCATTTACCACGAATGGCCCAACAGATAAACTTCTCCGTTAAGATTTGAAATGAGAAATGGAAGGATGGATGAAATGGAACGCATTGGAGTCAAGACGAAAAGGAAAGAAGGGAATTACATGGCTGAGGACTCTTGCATCGGGAGCACAGCGTCCGAGGAGATCCACGAGGGTGCAATAGAAGTTGAGGATGGCATTACCGGTGTCGATGTAGTCTTCATCCTCTTCCCCTTCCGGCAAGGGATGTTCGAAGGCTGCCGTCGTTCCTTCCGCTTCTGGATTTCCTTTCCCCGTCCTCAAAGCCGAGATCCTCTCCGACATCTACATTCACAACTCACCATCGCCATCACAGTCCTCTGATGAGAAGATAAGGAAATTCAGAACAGAGCGGAACCTGGTTGGCATTGACTATGGCCTTGAGAAGCCCTTCGCCCTCTCCCCTGAGGGCTGGACCCAGGCATTCTGGTCTTCGGATTAGAAGTCGAATCACCAGGTTCGCATTCTCTTCCACGCTCTCCCCTATCCCATCGACGAATCACTGATTCATCCACGTGTGATCGATAAGATTGAAGATACAGTAGCGTGCAGACATATTCTGATGCCTGATGTAGGACACCCCGAATGACATTATTTGCCGCCGCCACCACTCCCTTTCTACTCGCACGCGTGCTAATCCAGACTTTAGGGAGGAGGGTTCCAGAGAAAATGATCTGGGAGAACCCTGAGAGGAATAGGAGCAGAAAAGAAACGAGGAAGTCAATCGAAGACCTCCTCTTATCCTCCTCACGTGAATCTCTATTGAAACTCAGGGCTTTCTCAAGTTAGAAAAAAAACTTTCAAGAGAGCTATAGGGGCTAGCCTCCCTCTCCCGTAAAATACACCTCAGCAGGTGTTAATCCTGTTTAAGCGGTTCACGCGCTTCGGCATGGGTCGGTACGCCACTGTGAAGGTATGAGATGAGAGGCAAACAGACCTGAGACCCAGACGCAGAATCGGAGGAAATCGAGATACCGTTCTCCCTCCACTGGGTCCCATCCGATATCCGGGTATCCCTTTTTCACCAATTCTGCATTGCTTTGCAGCCCGCATCGTGACAGATATATGGCAATCTTCTCCAGATACGCCTCTCTGCACGCAATTAAAAATTTAAATTAAAATTGATCTTCATCGATCGAAAGCACGACAGTGGACATCAGAGTGTGATGAAAAGAACGAAAATGGGACCTAAGGGCGAGGGCGAGTTCGGTGTTGTCCATCAGAGACGAATAGGCGACGTCTAAAGGAGTGGATCCCCGAAGGGAAGGCCGGGAGAGGAGAATGTTAGAATTCTCCAACAAGAAGGACAAATGATCGAACATAGCCTTCTGATTCGCTCGTCCCGTTCGGCAGAAGTAGCAGAGAAAACGACAGCAGGCCACCACCATCTCTGGGGACGTGTCCTGCTCAGGATAATATAAAGCCACTCTGAAACACACTCGAAATCTCAACATCTCCCTGGATCTAATTCCTACGTTTCACATCTAGATCGGAATAGGAACGGGTACGGACTTCTTTTTGCGATCCCTCGACCTCGACTTGGCCGGCATCGGACTGGGCCTGGGCTCTTCGTCCCAAGGTGTTCATCATGATAGCCATCACGTTCTCGTGGATGCGGAGTTTCCTCATCAGATCAGGATGTTGGAAGAAGACGCGATTTTGGACCATGGACCAAAGGAGTTCCCGGATGAGTTCCTCCTCTTCCACAGACATCTGAACCGGTAGAAGAGATCGAACCCGAGAGAGACGAGACAAAAGAGCGGACACGTCGTCTCTCCCGTGTGCCATGATCACATAAGAGTTGTTGAGGGCATTCATGAGTTCCCCGACCCCATCGTATTGTCTCAGGAGGAGCCAGAACATCTCTCGGACCAGTGCCGGATCTTCGAGCTCTTCTGTTCTAGCCCAGTTCACCAGGACTTCCGTGAGGACCTTCTTGAACCTCTCTGCAATGGAGAATCAGCCGAGAATGATTCCTCTCATTACACGTTCTCCGTCCGCGATGAACATGAAAACGGCCCCCCCATACCCTCGCTTGATCAAATAGATCTCTTTCAGGTGAAGAATTCCGTTGAATTTTGTTGCTTTTGTGAAGATATTGGTATAAATTCCTCTATTACCTGTTGCAAATATTGAATAAATTTTCATACATGGATGAATTCAGCGAACATTTAGAGATAGTTCGTTAAAACAGGTTAAGATAAGAGAATAGAAGGATGATTCGAGTTTGTCACTCGCCTTCGGGAAGGAACCTTTCCTCTTCCGTTTCAGGCTGTTGGTCCAGGTTGAGCGGAAAGCTGCTGATGAATCCCTTGACCCGCGAAAACCACGACTTTTCCTCCCCATTCTAAAAAAAATTAGGACCAGTCAGTGACTATGGTAATTTACGGCCCTTCAAAAGTCCTGCAACACTTTTTCCATGCTCGAACTTCTCAGCATTTGGAGTACCAACTAGAAAACTTCTAGAGCTCTAGGATAGCTTAAATTCTAAATCTTGATACAACTAACGCGAACTACAACTAACGAAATCGAACGTGCTATTTCAATGGAATTCGCCTTAGAATTTGTCTGACCAGATTTTTCAGCGTCCGGCATCCCGAAAGTTACGAGGTTTCCTATGGCAATTGCCTTACTAGAAGCGACGCTGAAAGATTAAGCTACCCAAGTGTATAAAAATTCCCTTCTCGATGCTCCCAGTGCTGAGTAATTAGGGAATGGAAAAGTACTGCAATTATTTTTTTGAGGGGAGTGCAAATATACGAGGAAGTTTGTACTGTTTTGTTGACGTCTTTTTCGTCTTCTTCCTGATCTTGTGCGACAGCAACCTTCGTCGAGAGACTCTGGTGAAACTCCTTCATTCGATCCCGATATTCCTCGCTGCAAGGACAATTCTCCACATCTTCCTTCTCTAGGTTCTTGAATGCCAGGATCGCATTCATCTAAAGACATTTCAATTAAAAATGCATTGGATGCCTAAAAAAGCTAGTGGCGATGGTGATCGATAGAGAGCAGACTTGTTCGCGTGGAGGACATCGGAATTCCCTCGTCTTCCTCGCCGCCACGGCAGACGGCAGATCCGACTGCTTGATTTCGATGTAGCGACGAAGCTGGTCCTGTGGGTGTTTTTAAAATGGTAATTCAGCGTTTAGCACAACATTTGACACGATCCATCCGAAGATCGAAGTGAAGAGACTATAACACGTACACTCTGAAGTTGTGGGATGAAGTCTCTGGCGAAGGATACAATGGATTCTACTCGATGACGAAGTTGAATGTCACAAAAGTGATGGAGAAGCCTACAAAGCTGAAGCTTCACTCCTTCGGCTAAGTTCATGCTTAACAGGCCCTTTCTGTGCTCGTCTTTCCCGGCTGCAGACAAAATTAAAGGATCGAGCAATTTTTCGTATTTCAATGGAAAAATAAAAGGATCTGAACTGACTCTTGTCGAATTCCGGGTCCCAAGTCTCGGGATCGATCATGATGAGGATCTGGATAATATCTTCTTCTCTCAGTTCTCCAATCAAAAGCAGCTTATCGCAGAGCTTCAACAGAGGTCTGAGAACGGTCAAAAAGTTTTTTTTTTCAAAAGCGTTTTCATTCCTGTCTTCGAAATGAAATTTGAATCTGTGGAAATACCAAGAATGAGAAAGGGAAAGAGAGAGGACTGACACGAAAAGATTCTCGTTGGATCCGCCGATGGGATCTCTCGTGTGAACCTGGTTCCTTACCACGGCATCTTCCAGAGCTTCCATCACGAATTCCCGAAGCTCTTCTACCTCGATGTACGGCGTACTTAGGGTCTTGACCGTCGACGGATTGTAGCTGAAAACGAGATGGGTTCAGGAAGAAAGTAGTACGAGGAGCACCAAAGAGAAGAGAGACGTTGAAAGGGAGAAAGAGACTTGATTTCGGAGGTGACCATCTGAGGCCGGATGGATTCGAAGTTGACGGAATGGAGCGAATGGGTCAAAGAACCTCCTTCGTACAATTGCTGCAAGTTCGGGCTCAGAGGAACCAAGAACTCGTTCTGGGTCAACTCCCTATACAGACACGCCGAACCGTTCAAATTTTTCACATTCGGAAAAGGTGACAAAGGGTGGATGCAAGAAAGGGAGAAAAAGGAGAAGGAGAGACCTGGTGTTGGCGAAGGACTCCAGATGTAAGGCGATGAGGAGATCGTAAAATCCCCGACGGAGTTTCCCACTCAGGTATTCGGATTTGATAGCGTAAAGGAGTTGTCGTTTGTCCACGTGGCCGCATAACGTATGGGCGGCTCGGAAATTGCTCTCGTAGCACACGGCGCAATATAGCGCTAGCGTATGAGCATGGAAACTGGCAGATGAACAAAAATGAAAAATTGGACATCACATCTTTTCCGTGCGGTAAGTCGCGGAAGGACGGAAGATAACGTTTACCTAAGGAATCGTTCGTGTTCGATGAGTTCCAGGATGTCCATGCATCTATCCTCTTCAGGAATGTGAAGAGCCAGCATGGGAATAGGTTCTTCGCATAATGCACTCCAACCGCGAATGTCGCTCAATTTCAACGCATGAGCCCTCAGATTCTGATTTGGGACCCGGGCCCAGCTGTATGGCCGAAGCATCTGTACCTTCAACCTCGGCGGCAACTAAGAAAAATCCAAATTAAAAAAAATGAATGAACAACAAACTACAGAAGATAACGTGACAATAGGAAAATGTAATTAAATTAAAGCAGGCAGAGAAAGAACGTATCGCAAAAGAGCCCCACGAACGAAAGGCAGAGGCGATAAAGTCATAAAGACAAACCTGCGGCTGAACGTGTTTCTCCTCCGAGTTCTGCGAGATGGCAGCAGAATAAGGGAGAGAAGTCGGAGTTCGGCCGAGCTCGATTTGAAGCATTTCCTTGCTAGTTGCCTCGATAAAGAGAGCCGGGAAGAGCTTCGCCCCTGGCTGCATTCGGAATCGATGTCGGGTTGGGGTGCCATCGCACGAGAAACAAAGGATCCCTGTCGCTGTGTCTAAGGTGCATCCGACGAACATGCCCTGAGATGCTGTTCCTTTCCCGCCTCCACCGCCTGTCCCAGAGTCCCCTGCAGATACTTCCGCATGCAAATCCCCTGCTCGGAGCACGTAGCAACTCTGTCTCTCCACCGTCCTGTCATCCATCAATAACCTTCGTGAATTCAATGACGACGGTCGGACAGAATGCGGACTAAATAAGATTGGCAAGCCCATCCCAGCAGCAGCTTCTTTTCACTAGCGAGGGACTTCTTTTTACTACATCATTAGAAGAGAATATGATCGTATTATGAACCTCGGCCACCGAGATATTCTCGATCGAATTTTTTATTCCTGGACAGGAATCTATACAACTGATATTTCAGTGTTCGTTTGTGTGTGTGTCTATCCTTTATGCACGGCCACGTCTCTGATCCCAGTCCGACAAAACTTTGCATGGCTTCCTCATTTGGTCCAGGGATGGTCATAGGCTAGGTGGCGTTTCAAAATTCGGACCCCTCGGGGTATCTTAACGTTAAGTCGAGTCAAGTGTAGTCGAGAATATACGCGTAAGTAGTGGTGATGCAGCGGTGGTGGTTATAGTGGAAGACAAGTGCGTAGAGAAGTGTAAGGAACCGGGAGATCCTTGTCGAACATCCAAACGTCGAAAATTCAACATGAATGGTCTGCTTGTGGTTCGTGCTCATCAAGAACGAACTGTACAGTATTTTACTCACGTGCATTGGTATATCAATTTCATCGCAAAAACTTTTGAGCTATCGTCAGATAAGTGTGCGAAAGCTCATTGATGGGTGCACAAACAGGACGAGGCTATACAATAAACGTCATCTTTCCTTTCTAGAAAGGAGACTCGATGAAAAAGGGATCACCTTCCGTCAGCTGTGAGAACGGAGACCCTTCGGACGGATTTGGGAGAGAAGGTCTTGGAGAAATGGTGATATTGAGTGGAGACCCATCCGAGATAGACCAAATTCGGGTCCTGTCCAGCGAAGATCCGAACTCCGAAAAAGTACTCGTTCAGTCTTTCCAGGCAATAGGCGTCGAAGAGTTCGTTCTCGTTCATTCCAGATTGAATAGAAGAGGCTCCGATCTGGTTTGTCGATAACTTCCCCACGGCCGACATTTTCCTCGGCATCCCTTCCGGCACCGTCAAGTTATCCCCCTGCAATGAGGGGATTCAGCAACTTATCATTTCGGACTGCACGAAAAACGATAATTAATGTAAGCTCTAGCTAACATGGATGATCATTTTTCGTGCAGAAAAATTGTGCAGGGAAGTGCAGAAAAATTACCAGTATGAGATATAAAATAGCCACGATATTATGATCAAAAAAGGTATGAAAGCCAAACCCAAAAAAGCAAAAACATGAAGAATCGTGTGGGATCAAAATCAAGGAAACAAGACTTCGGGGCGTAAGAACTGCCTGTGAAAGCAAATCATCTTCTGATAGATTCATTGAGTGTCTTAACTTGTGGCAAGGCACCTTTGCATGAGGCATTCAAAAGCAGGATGGGTAAGCAGCTAAGATTTCAGATATTCAGTGGATCAATCTGCGATCATTATATCACAGATGATTCTTACGCCTCGGAGTCTTGTTTATTTGGTTAAGACATGATCCCACACAATCTTTTACTTTTTGTGCTTCAGGTTTTCTAGATCCCTTTTATTTTACTTTTAGCAAATAATTTGAGCCTGCCATAGAGTCACCGTGACATTAAGAAATTCCCAATGCACATGTTCAGATCGGTTCATTACTCTTTGGGAAGTACTGTAGTTTAGCAATGCCAGGAGTTAATGCATGACCACATACCGCCATTATGAGAGTCCATCGGCGCCTTGCTTCGCAAGCCGGACATCAATGTTATGCGAGCAATGATATGTGAGTGATTTGTGAGCATAACATGAGTTATGGGACTGATATCTATTGAAAAGGCCCTCTGTATGGATACTATAATAACGCAGTATCGCGCTAGACAAAACTTATTGTAAGTGAAGACTATCGACCAAATACGAGTAGAAGGAAGTAGAGGAACTAGAAGGCATGACATACGGCCATGATTTGGACAGACTGCTGAGATTTCTTTTTCTTGTCTGGCGGCAACCCCAGGCCAAGAGGCTGAGATCTCTCGGGAGCAGCCTCGGATGCAGCCCTTCCCTCCGGAGTTCGCCCTGTCCTCTTCCGATCTCCGCTCTGGTTCCGGAATCTCTGCGTCAGAAAACTGCCAACACCCGTTCGAGATCGGCATGCTTTCATTTTCCCGCATTTCCATCAAATCACTTCAAATGAGTTCAAATTTCACCTGAAGGGGGATTTCCCTCGTTTCTTGTCCTTTTCGGGTTTCTCGCTCTTTTCTCGCTTCCGTGATTCTCGTCCCATCTTATTGAGGGCCTGTTCGCTTAGAGTTCGGATGAGTCCACCACGACCTGACGATTCAAAGTCCTTCCATAGTCCCTCACATTCCGTACAAAAAACATTTATTTTACTTAAAACTCACGACGAGGAAATGCAGACCTTGCTTGACGGTTTTCTCGGGTTTGGATGCGGTAGAACGAGGGGAATCCATGTCGATGCTAGCTGCTTTGCTCAGAGAGGATTTCGATCCCACTCTCGCGGAGTCTTTAGCTGGGAGTTGAAGGGTGTTCGATTGCGAAGGTACCGAGGCATGATTTCCTGTTCCCGTTCCTGTACCCGTTCCCGTTCCCGCAGCAGGGCCTCGGATCATGTGATGGCTCCCTTCCAATTTTGGCCCGTTCCCCATCACCTCATCGGATTCCACTGCGTCTTCGCTGTATCCTCGTTGCAGGTCTACGAATCGATTTTAAAAAGCCAAGGACATCGTGGAGAAGGCCATTTCACTCAGGAAGCATGTAAGCGGACGGAATGCGACGTCCAGGGAGCGAACCCATTCTCCACGCGTCATTAAATAAAAGCCTAGAAATGGGGAAGGGCGGGAGAATAAACGATCGGCCAAATAGGACCGAACGGCCAGTATAGAATCGTAATCAGACATTTCGCATTTCCCTCTCTGCTAAATGGAACGTAACGGGGAATGAGAAAGATTGGCAGGGGAAAAGCCCCTTTTCTCCCTGAGAGAAAGAGATGGAAAAAAGCTGCAACAAAAGAGCAGCAGAGACTGGAAACAAGTTAGCAAGAGGAGATGGAGGCCTCATCCCACTCCTACATTTTCATTTTTTCGCTCTTTTTCAGTCTTTTCTTGTACTTACTACACAGGGTGGCTAAAACCAATACATGCCACGAGTGTTGCATTTTGGATCACTCGTTGATATACCGTGAAAGAACGGCGTTAAACTTTTTTATGTCCGAAGACTGACGTAGACATTTTGGAACGGAACCAATCACTGCGACGGTTGAATAAATTTTCTGCTATGATGAAGCTGCATCTGGCAATCGATAATTTTTTAATCAGTTACAATGTTTCCTTCGGTTCGTCTTGCACCAGTTAAGGTTTATCTTTCTTTAGATCTTATCTCCTTTTTTTTTTGGGGGGGGGGGGGGGGGGGGGGGGCGTGGCGTCGAAGAGTTCGTTCTCGTTCATTCCAGATTGAATAGAAGAGGCTCCGATCTGGTTTGTCGATAACTTCCCCACGGCCGACATTTTCCTCGGCATCCCTTCCGGCACCTCATCAGCACACCATCTTCTAAAAAGACACATTCCATTCTGTAATAGCTGAATCAAGAACAGCAAGAAAGTAAGTTTGGAGGCCGTATTCAACAGCTTTAGAACAGCTTGAATAGAAAAAAGAAAATTAATAATTGTTGCCACTGAAATTCAGGTTGACTTTTTCTCGTCCACCCTGTGGACGTACAGTAAAGTACTGATTAGGACCTATAAAGACCATCTTTATTCGATTTTTCCCAGGAATGTTGCAGAAAATGAAAACAGGATAAATATTTGTTTACGACACACGAGATGTAGGTAATGGTGGTGGGATAGACACAGGTGAAGGTGTTGTGGACACGAGTGGTGGTAATATGGGTAAGATGGTAAAAGAGGAAGAAGAGACATTTCTCGCTGGAAACAAGCCTTATCGTGCCCATCAAGCGTCAACCGGGCACATTTTCATCTCGATCAATTCAAGAGTTTTTCCAGTCATCGTCGAGCCATGAAAATGACCGAAGTAATGACTACTGACAAAAGAGGTGAACGGAATTTTTACCTTTTAGGTCAAATATGGAGAAGCCAGAAGTAAGCAGAGATTGTTCGAGAGGGGCTGGAGATAAAGTCCTGGTATCCAACTCGACCCGGAGACGATGTTGCCGGATGCGAATCTCCTGCCAGCGCCTCGCCTTCTCCATCTCACTATATCAACAACACAACACCATCATACATATTCTGCACAAGAAGCTGAATCCCGAGTCGCAAACGTGAGAAATGATTCATATGGGAGAAAAAGGACGAACTCAATGAAGGTATCCTTGCAGGTAACGGGAAGAGAGAGTCGAAGATATTCCCATTCCGCCTTCTCCATCGTTTCGAAGAATCGATGAGAGATCTTCAAAGCCGGTGGGGAATCCGAACCGACCGGGATTCGAGTTATTTCCAAAGGACAGGCAGAGATGTCATCGTAGTTTTCGAATTGGGCCAGGTCTCTGGTATACCACAGCGTCATCTGACGCTGCATATTCCTGTATCCATTTTCGAAGGGTTATTTGATATCTGTGAACGTGTCATCACCGTGCTTTCTTTTTTCGTCTATAATTACGATAGTCAGTCTTACACGCAGAAGGGTCTGTATCCCTCCTGAAGCCCACAGGTAGTAAAGTATTTGAGAGCATTGACATCTTGACCCAGAATGAGTTTGGCCCTTTGACCGACTTGTAAGGTGAAGGCAGGGACGTATCCGGCATGATCCCCGGTTGGGATGTCCGTGAATGCTGTCTCTCCGCCCATGGCATCCATCATTAACTCCCCGTTCAAGGAGAAACCTCAAGAACCACCACCATTCCATGAGATACGAGACTCTCACTAATCGTTCTTTTAAATTCAATTCCAAATCTAAATTTCCGAGCGGATATATGCGCTAGCAAGCAGGGGTAGGTGATCATTCAATGAATCAAGGTATCTTCAAGTATTTTCGCATTATTAATTATTATAGTGATTATTGAATAGACAATTGTTTATTGAAGTATTTTATCAACATTGAAGCTCATTATTCATGATTCAGAATTCTCTTCATTAATCAAGGCGTTGGTAATCGAACTAGACTATGTCACTGGCTGTTATTCATCAATCTGTTCAAGTAATACGAATGATTTTGATAACCCACCTCTACTTGTCAGTATGTTTAGTACTTGGAAAGCCATGAAATGCATTAGTCACAACCACATCCCAGCAAACATAGTGGCGTTGTGGGAACGTTCAGCCAGTTTCACTACAGTGTTATCAACGTTGAAGGTTCAAATCCAACACTGCATGAATACCTTAGCAGTGTAATGGCACTATGATACCTTCTTAAATCATGTTTTTGAATAATATTCCTGGTAACGTCATGGAGCAGGCCAATCCAATAAGGGATTTTTTTTTCAAGAAATGACCAAGAACCCCAGTAGCAAATAACATTGAATCAACATCCGGACGTTGAATCAGCATTCAATCAATGTTGATTCAATGTTTTGTGCTACTGGAAAACCTATCCAGTGTTACTAACTAAAGTAGACGGAATGCTTCTGCTTCGACGTTCAGCAGCGTCATTCATCAGGGATTCTAGGAACGTGTCCTAAAATGAAAACTACCAAGTGTCCTCTACTGACCGGCACGCACAAGAAGTGAACTGTGTCGATTGCCGTGAAATGTTGAATCACTGTTCAGAAGAAGTTCTGATATGGAATGTGTTTGTGCTTGCTGGAGAATTTTCAACCAATCTTGAACTTCAATCTTTACCAATAAACTACATTACAATGTTGGCCCAATGTTCAGATGTTATACTGCTTCAGTGCTGGGAAGGTTCTAAAGTAACATTCATGTTGCGTTCGTAAAATGCCATTGCACTGTTGGACAAACACGTTTAGCCAGTGTCGAACTTCAACATTCATCTGAGTATTACGATAAGCGACATTCAAATATTGACTTAATGTTAGATGCAATGTCCCCACAACGCTGGGAAGGTTCAAAATTGACGTTTATACAGTACAAAGCTGATTGAATGTTCGTTTGTTTGCCGGGATGAGGCTGATTACGACACTATAAGTTAAGTCCTAAATATTTGGATTAGGAGTGAATAAAGGCACAGGCTACTAAAACATACAAGGACTTCCAGGGAATTTATACCTGTTGCAACGCTCAGATTGCGTTAAATACCGAATAAGTAAGTCCGGGCAAGTAGGCTTAATGCACCGCTCATCGTGTTAAGCACCAATCAATCTTTATTACAAAAATGAAACAAATATATTTATGCATCATAAGGATCATTGTCTAGTATTCAGACTGTCACAGAACAAGTTTTCTGGCATATCATGCCTGACTTAGCTCGTTTATATTTCGTAACTTCGTCACAGACAGACTTTCCGCGGAAAGTTTGTCTCAGGATGCAGCTCATCACGTGTGATGAGCATCATCCTCGAGAATGCGGCGATAAGCGTTACTTGATTAGAATCTGACCCTCCAATACTCCGTGTTACTTGCCTGGCATACTTGAAGGAAGGCAATTTCGTTCACTTTATTATGGCTACGTCAATGGAAAAAGTATCGTTTAACTTCGTGATAGAAATGATTGTGCCTGTGTCCCTAGCATCACCACTCCAAAAAACCAGTGAATGAATACAGGAGGTCCTGCTATGGAGTTGATTTCCCGCCATTTCAAGGATTTCCCGCCACACAGAGGGTGGGGAGGAGGCACTGGGAGGGCATCGCTAGTGTCCATTGCTTCCGCTAGCTAAAGTTTGCATATCGTAACTTGAAGCTCGGTTATATACGCATTCGTTCAGAATGCTCCATCTCCACTTAGTTTTCTGCACAATATAGTTCATCCAACTCTTCGCATGTTATCCTCAGTGGTCGGTGGATAAGCCAGATCATCATCTGCACCAGGAACCCTATAGGTACTTTCTATAGATAATGAAAATAAATTGAAAGAGAGAGCCTAAACCTTTCTGCATGTTACGTATCATGGCCCCATGGGTGCTGAGAAGAACCAAAAGCCGATTGGCTGCGCTGTACGCCAGTTAGCGCGAATAAACCGATCCAACGCACAAAACTTTTTTGTCCCTATTATGACACACTTGGGATGTGCCCAAAGGCGTGTCGAATTTCTGACACGTACGTCATGTGTCAAAAGGTCTCCGTGTGAACTGCATTATTTCGGCATTGCTGCGCAGATTAGCCGACTGTCGTTAGTTGACATCAGGTTATATCCTGAGGTCAACTAGCGTTCCATTCGAAATAGATGATGAGCTGCTGCACGCAAAACTTTTGGTGTCGAAGTGACACATTTGTACTCGTATGATCATTTGGACACACTTTGGTTTCATATTATAATATTCAACACACCTTTAGGCACATTCCAAGTGAGTCATAATAGGGACAACCATTTTCGTGTCAAAAAAGTTTTGTGCGAACTTGATTCTGACTATGGGAAAAGCCTCCCTTTATCCCGAGATGAGCAGAGGGTCCGCATTCGCCCTAGAGATCTTCATGTCCAGACAGTGAAGGGAGGAAATCAGTCGACTACCTCTCCTTTTTTCTGTCTCCTCCTCTCATTCAGACTGGACGTCTGCAGATGTACTCGACGGTCAATGCGATTCCTACCCTTTATCGCAATGACATGGCCTTGATAAGTACGCCATCAATAAGAGAAGAAGGTTGGAACTGCGGCCTATCTGCAGAGCTCTTACAACTCTCGAAGCAAGAGTACGGATGTTTCCCAGGTCTTCCTCCCCCTCCATGAAGGGAATCTGTTTCCTACCGAACACGAATAAGAGGACACCATCCAATTGCGAGAGAAATTTCATCCAAATGAAAATCAGAAAGTCTGTGTGGCTGACAAGTTAAAATGCAATTGCGAGTCTGTAATGCGCCAAGAAGGGGGTGGGCTATCAGCACGTGATTCACAGTCAGGCTTTGGATCCTGGGATTATTGCCAAAAAGATGGCGTCTTCCCTTATAAAGTTCACCAAGCAAGAGACGTGCAGATTGATTAGTTTTTGGCGCAGAAAATGCCCAGGGCAGTGATACTACAAAATGCAGGAAGTGTATTGTGGGAATTACCAGTCACAAAGGAGTTTGTACGAGTGCGTAGCGAACGGGGATGTGAAGCATACTTTAAAAAATTGTTCGTCCTCCAGTGTCGAGATGTTCCACATTCCCGTTTGAATTGCGCTACTCACTTTACGCTCTACCTTGAGACTTGCATTCGACGCCTTATACTGTACGTCCTGTATTTTGCAGTGAATATCCCATGAGTGCAGACGGAAATGTTTAGCCAAATTTATTTGCATCCGGAAGACTTTGTCAATAGGCGTGTAGTCTAAAACAAGAAAGAGATAAAGAGAAAAGCAGGGAACATCACGGATTTCTGCCTTTTCCCTTGGGTGTCATGTGCCAAATTGATTAAACGAATCTAATCTTTTTTCATAAATGAGCCCATATGGGGTCCAGATCATCTGGGTTAACCTCGTTTTAATGAATGACATTATGGAATCCGATCAATTTAAGGGGAAGACAGATCTGGAGCCTGTCATCCTATCGTCTGCAGGGTTTGAATTTCATGAGTGGGAATTGCAAAGAGGTCATCGATCAATCCGTTGCCGAGGCAAGAAACTGCAGATGCGGCTCCTCGCATTCACTGTCTCTTCTTTTTTCCTCTCTCCTCTCCCACTCTCGTCTGGACACGAATATCTCGAGGTAAAATCGCGGAGAGAATTCTTTTTTTTTTTTAATGAAGTCGTTCTGTTAACGCAAAGGGAAAACCAGGTAAGTCTGCTCATCTTTACGGTCTGGTTTCTTCCTTTTTCTTTTTCCTCCTCTCCCTCAAAAATGACAAGATAAATTCCAAATGTTCATCCTCTGCGCATCCCACGGCAAAAAGGATTTTCCCATCCATTCCAGGGATCACATTCAAATTGGATTGGAATACTGCAAGAAGAATAGACGAGGATCTTGCGATGCAATTGTATAGGACAGACTCTTTTACCAACCCGTTCACTTGGACAGTTCCAAAAGAAATTATACAGTATTTGGCCTGGAGACACAGTTGAGCACGTGCTAGTTGAGCATGTGCCTCGGAGAATCTACGAAGATCACTATCAGTTGGAGATTATTTTCGACGAGGGAATTTCATGAGAGGGATAGCCTCCATCGGAAAACAATCCTGTTCAAAACAGACATCCTTGAAGATCACCAGCACTAGCCTTTGAAATTATCGGAAACTATCAAAACTACCGAAATAAATTAGCCTCCAGGGTTTGACATTTAAGGAGTTTCTGTCATTAATTTTATTCGTTGTACATAGTGTCAGTCTTAGTGTAGTTTAGTTTAGTTCAAATCTAGTTTCAGTTTATCTCTAGTTACCAGGACTTCTCTTAACTGAAAAAAGGTTTCAGAGCAGTTAATTGAATTTTCGATAACTGTAGATAAACTAAAAATACAGGAAACCTACGTCTGCACTTGAGATTTCTTGCAAGTTTCGCTCCCTATTTAATTTAATTTGCAAATATTACAAAGCAACATTTGGCTTGAATGAGCTTTCACTAGATCCCAGTGCATCGTAAGCCTCATTGAGTCAATTCGAGAAACTTTCAAAGCTTAGACATGAAATTCTTCACAATAGGTTTTGTAAATGTAAATGTAGAAGTGTTTTCTAATTTACAAATACATTTACTAGCTATCTTTGCTTCTGCGGGTTTCCTACAATTTACTCAAGGAATCTCAAAAAGGGATTGTTTCCTACCTTCAGTGCTTGGAACCAAACCACTTACCTCATAAGAAATCGTAATCACAATCACAAAATCTGATTCAAAGGACCAAAAGAGACCCAAATTGACCTAGTGATGCAAGAGACAAAAATGACCATAATGGGTAAATTGGGTCACTCTGAGTCACTTGAATCAAATTTTGTGGCTAAGAATTAAGCATTACTGTATCTACCTTGTATTAAGTAAGCTGGTGGATTTCTAGCAGTTTAAATTTTAAAAATCTATGCACTATAAACCTCTGGTTCTTGATTATTGCAATATCACGTACAAGAAACCCACACCGGTACACGGTTCTGTATGCCAACTTAACCAGTATGTCAGCCACTAACAGTTATCGCGACTTTTGCTGATATAAAGCTGGCATCACGTGAAACCAGTTTTTAGTTAACAGCCTGGTCCCTCAGATTATCATATGCTTTGCTAAGGGAATCCGAGAAGCAGAGGTTGTATAATACTAATTCTGTTTCAGTTCATTCTTTGCTTCAGCTTCAGTTATCGGAAAATGGTATGAGTGCAGTTTAACACTGGTTTAGATTTATTCATCTGGATCTGAAAAAGTGACCTATGGTAAATTAGTCAGTATTTGTCTCAAATCAACTTATGAACTCAAGATGAAACTACACTGGGTGACATGAGATCATTGATCATCTCGTCTCGAACATCCTAGGTTAAGACAACTGAGCGCTGCAACTGGCCTACCGGCAACTTTCCCTATTCGCTATGAGGTTTGTGGCCCACGATTCTTCAGTTCATGCAGCGTTATGTCATGCACCTATGTACGCTCATTGAATGAGCGAATCCAGTTCTAATTCTTCATAACTCTTTCTATAATCGGTGATTAATGATAGGTTTTTTCATCCCCAATGTGCGAAGGTTTCCTGCCGGGAGTGAACTAGTTCCTCCCTTTCGACTCACTGATGGTCTTGTCGACGAGATCCAACAAGACCCCGATCACATCCCCAACTTGCCATTGTTTCCCGTATGGTTCTGCTCCACCACCGAATAACTTCTCTTCCTGATAGTCCAACATTCCCTCTTAGAAGTGGCTTTTCTTTGCATTCACAGGATAATTTGTACACATCCAACGAGTGATTAGGTCCAGCACGCACTCGCAATACAAGTCAGTATTAAGGGTTGTTAAGCGGGTTACCATGCATAAATCCATTCTGGGTTTCAACCGATCGATGAATCAAAATTTATTTGTACTTACTGATGATTCTATCGTGTAAATCTAAGAAGCAACCTATCACGTCCCCGACGTGACTACGTCTCCCGTAAAACTCGGCTACTCCGTGCCATTTCACGCCCTTAAAGGGTCAGAATAAAACATGTGATTCATCCCCAAAAATCAAAGGTAGACAAGACTCTTGTGATGAGGGAATACGATAGGATGACATCTAATCAAGTTCTCGTAGAGCGGATTGAATGACCTTACTGTTGCAGAGTGTGGTTTTCCCATGATACTATGAAACAGAATCATATCCCTCATCGCTTGTCATTAGTAGATCATCTTTCTCTGGATCGTAATAAGGCTTATCAAAGTGCATTCTGAAAAATAAGTAGCAGCTACGAAGCTACTCAAACAGCATGTGTGCAACTGCTACGCAAATTGACAGCTAGGTGCAGTTAAGTAAATGGGGCTCATAGGGTACTCACATTAAATCCATCGAAACCCCATCCGTTGTCGTCGGCACCAACAGTGATGCCTGAAGGCATGTCTGCCTTGATCCAACCCACCTTCATCGGTCCTGCCGTCAGGATCTCGAATTCGAAGTACCTACAGAACATGATATTCAAACGAGGTTACTGTCATTCTCCTTCTCCACTCTTTCTTTTACATTCCTTCCCTTTCTTTCCCTTTCTTTTCCTTTCCTCCCCTTTCCTCCCCTTTCTTTCCCTTTCTATCATTTTCCTTCCCTTTCCTTCTCGTCCCCCTCATCACCCACGAACAGCTACACAAAATAGTTATCTTAGATTCTTGGAATTTCTCTTCTATCTTCTACCATATCATCCAAGGGATGATGAACTCTTCACGTTGAAGTTTCACTCTTAGCATACTGTACAATTTATATAATACGTGGGTTCCCGGAAAAGTTCCCGGAAAAAGTGACTTCATTTTGTCAGATCCCCATTATTTTTTCACTGTGTATTCTTATGTATCTTAGTAGCTCTTCCCTTTAATTTCAGATCCCTGCGATAAAATGGAGACTCGCAAGCAAGCGCGAAGTGAAACGAGTCAGAGGGTCTTGCTACCCTTGACGAGCCGTGACAAACGCGGGGCAATTTTGGTGCAGTTTCGGCCCAGAGACGAAGAACCAGAGGACGCAATGGGAAGTAGAAGTAGATCCAGGTTTCATCACCTGTGAGGATGTTTCTCACAGCTTCAGAGGCTCCACCGTCGAATTTCTGAAGCATGAATTCACAGAAGTCCACACGAGCTTTCATGTGATCCGGTTTCAGCTGGTGCGGAACCCAACCAGCACAGACCTTCCTCATCCCAAGGTGAATTTCTGAAGCATGAATTCACAGAAGTCCACACGAGCTTTCATGTGATCCGGTTTCAGCTGGTGCGGAACCCAACGAGCACAGACCTTCCTCATCCCAAGGTGTTCGTGCTGGATCTTGATGACCAAGCCATGCGACACCCCAACTAGCTTCTCTAGTTCCCTGGTGGTGATCTGCCGGTCTTTGCCAGCATGAAGTGACTCCTAGACAATGTTTTCCAGAGTGACAGTGAAATTTGGACCACCTTCACGGGGATCATCATCGAGGCTGAAGGAGCCAGATCGAAAGCGCGCAAACCACTCATAGACAGTGCTCTGGGATGGAGCTTGGTCCGCAAGTGCCTTTTGAAGGGTTTCGAAACACCGTGCCACCAAATTTCCCAACCGAAACAGCACCAAAATTGCCCCACATTTGTCACAGCTCGTCAAGGGTGGCAAGACCTTCTGACTCGTTTCACTTCATGCGCGCTTGCAAGTTTCCATTTTAACGCAAGGATCTGAAATTAAAATGGAGAACTACTAAGATACATAAGGATACGCAGTGAAAAAATAATGGGGATTTGACAATAAGAAGTCACTTTTTCCGGGAACTCTTTGACCAGTCGACGTATTTGGCTGCAATGATTTGGTAACTCTGATTTTAATACACTGTAGAAATAGATTTTCTACTAAACCGCAAGCTAGTCAACTCATTACTGCACCCAGCATATTAAAATCAGTATTGCCAAATCATTGCAGCCAAACATGAAAATAATTATTCTCGGTAAAGCAACTTATGCCACACCCAATATATCATCAGTGTACTGTCATAAGGGACAGCAGAGTCTCAGCAATATGGACCTGCTCATAACAGTCTTAGCTGGAAAGCCAGAACAATGGTTGACTAAAAGGCTAGTATTACATCACAAATGAAGGATTGGTGAGTAAAAGTTCTTTTATGTGCATTGCAATGGAACCTTAGTGGAGAATACATACATAGGATGTCATAGAGCTTGGAGAAGCCAGTCATTGTGGTGGCATAAGGATCTTCAGTGAAGTCTTGAAAGAACTTGCGCACGTAATCCCGCTGCTTCCCATCAAAGAGGTGAAGCTCTGAGAACGATCGATTCAATGCTGCCTCCTGCGGGTCCATAACTAAGAATAGTGTGTCATCCTTTGTGCTCCTACAAAAAATTACATGTTGTTGAGAGACAGTTTTTCATGAAAGAATTCATCAAAATCATCTTGTGGACTATCAGAATATATAACAAGCAACCAATGACAAAAAATTGGGGCATGAATTTGACCCACTGAAAACTGAAAATTAAACAAAACATCCATGAGAGTCAACTCACAATTTCCTTAAATGGATATGGATTTGTCTGCAGGGCAGTACAAACTACAGCATATTAATAAGGGCTTTCACAGTGGCATTACTAGTTATATTTCATTTTTCTTTCCTAACAGAAAATATGTATGGCACAGAAAAATAAATTCACCACCCAGCAAAAAGGGTGGTGAATCAGAGGGAAATTTTGATTCGCCACCCTTTGAAAGGGAAATTGAGATTAAGAGTCATTAAATGCAACCAATTTTGAACATTGTTTAAAATTATAAATGAAACCTAAAAAACTAAAAATCCACTGATTGACTAATGTGAAATCAAAATGAGCTGGAAACTCTTCAATATGAAAATATTATTGAAACAAAGAAGACAAAATGCAACAGACGGTGTAATGATGAGATGATCACTGAGAAAGTCTATAAAGATGTCAGCCTTCCCCTTTTGGAAGGTAAGGACATGGTTGGAAGTCCCATCTTTCTGAATCAGGGTGAGGAAAGTGTGATCCACTAATCGGTAACTCTTCAGATCATCCAAGCATACCAGTAGGGGATGGGATTTGGATCCTGAGTCTTCCTCACCTGAGAACTCCACAACACCTGTGCACCATTCAATTTCAATTATACTCAAAAGCTTCCTTAGGTTGGCATCAACATCCAAGAAGAGATATTTTTTTGCCTAGAAAGAGAATTAAAAAATACAGAATTACTTAAGTACTCCCTGATATAATAACCATTTGCTTTTCCATACTTGAATGCTGGTGAGCAATCCTTCAAGGGTAATGAAAGAATATCATTTATGCAGCCAACAAAAAATTCTGCATTTATACAAGGGCCAGCTGAATGAAAACAGTTCTGCATGCAGTGATTATTGAATATACTCTTTCTGGCACTATTGTAAAACAAAGTTGATGTCTGGTGGTACCATGTTCTCACTGCCTCTACCACATCACCATCCAATTGGTTTCACCGGCTCCTCATGGTCCTCTTTGTAGTATCCTCATCAAAATGATGACACCAGGTTTCATCATGTGCCACAATTCTGGTCAAAGAGCTGTCTCCTTCGGCATAGTCACACGAAATATACGTGAAACAAAAGACCCATACAGACATGCTTCTGGTCTCTGATTGGATGCTTTAGTGTCCATTTGATACACCAAATGGCACTGGAGGAAATTGTGGATGATTATGTGCACATACTCATGGTTAATTCCCACTCCTGTGGCTATGTCTTCAGGAAACACATGTCTGTAATCCTGTAATAATTCCTGTAATCACCTCATCCACCTACACCACATCACCATCAGTGATTATGACAATGGCCCATACAGATCTGGGTTTGTCCCCATTGCAAAGATGTCTGCCAAAAAAATGTTTCCAGCATTCATATACTCATCCCTGGAATGGGTCAAACCATAAAATGGTGACCATTCCATGAAAATATCAAGTGGTTTTGAACCTTCTTCATCATAGCCCTCTGATGTTGCTTGGACAATTGAGATAGCCATCTTTACTAGGTTACAGTGCATGTAATCCTCTGCAAGTAGCAGTGTCAATTGCATATTTTGCACAAAACCAGCATACCTTAGATATATGTATTTTGAAGTACATCATTTGATTTTTGGTAAAAATTTCACTGTTTTCAGTTGACTGGCCATAGTACTAATCTTGATGAATATAAGTATATGCAGGTATACATGGTGTTTGCATAATATGCATTATTACATTCAACAGCCACAAACAAGGCATGGCAACAAATTTGGATTAAATTTCAAAGAACTGTCGTAAACACAATTTTTGCACAATGAAATTTTGCAAAAATAATTTCAGCAGAGCCAAAGAGAGATGTATACAGGGTGTCCATAAAGGTATGACCCAAAAATAATCTTTTGCAATTAAGTGTCAGCGTACTCTATTGCCATGAAATCTCCCATGCATATACTCAACCTTTACATTTTTGTGATAAGATCAGAACTGTGTCAGTCCTTCACATGTCCACCAACTCACTCATGACACAAATTCTGGCAGTACAAGAGTGCTGCCCACGTATTTCCTAACATTTTCTGTGTGATGCAAACCTGACCTCACCCCTATGGACTACTTTGTCTGGAGTTATATCAAAGAAAAGGTGCATACCTAGAAATTGTGATGTGACAGACCTCAGGAACAGCACACAAGAAGCATTCACCAGTCTCACACAGGAAATGTTAGTGAACACATGGACAACACTCTTGTACCACTGGGAATTGTGTCATCAGGGAGACAATGGACACATGGAGGACTGACATGAATATTTCTGAGAAAAGACTTTACCACAAAAAATGTACATTTAGTGAGTTTCATGGCAATGAAGTACTTTGCTGCTGAATTATGACTGATTATTTTTGGGTCATACTTTGTAGACACCCTGTCTAGAATATAATTCAAAAATTTTTTTCCCTTTCCTGTGTATCACATAGCATGGCAGCTGTCAAGGCTCACCTGATCCATCATGATTCCGGAAATTGACAACTGCACTTGAGTCAAGCACTGTCCAATCAGTTCCTTTCTTCTCTTCTGTAGAAGCTGGTTGCCAAGCAATGAACTTTCCATAGGGCTGAAATAAAAAGCCAGAGAACCAGAAAAATTACAATAATCTGAGAAGTAGATTACAAGGAAAAATCAAAGAAATTGGTTCAGGGTCACAAATTTTTTGCTTTTGAATGATGTCACAAGTATGTGCACAAAGGGCATAGCAACACAAAATCCTTCTGAAGTTAGTCTTAAGACATAGTCAAAGGTGCTCTCATTGTTTTGTCTTTCAGTCCCTGTAAATGTCACCTCTTATTTAATGAATTTGGGCTCTCTTTAAAAGCAGAAAAAAGTATAACACTGTCTGCACTAGGACAACATGCTCCAATCATTTAGGATAAGGTAATCAATTTTATTGCACATTCAAGTGTAAGCTATGTCAAGGTAAGTCTAATCAGCATGACAGAATGAAGAACAGAGCTCAAGGTCTAGTAACAGTAGTCTGGCTACTGTTACTAGACCTTGAGACAGTTATCAATCCTGTGGGTCAAACAATCAAAAGATGGGAAGAAACATTGAGCTTTCCAAGCAAGAAACAGATCTGGCCATAAACAATAACCCTGCCATTGAGATGATATTGGTAGTGGTATTTGAGTCTTAATTTCATAGCACTACCATGCTATTAGCATTTCGAAGGCACATACCTGCATAAGTGAAAAAAATACCAATGAAAAATAGAGCAAAAAATACAATAGCTGAATGTTCACTCAAGGAATGGTGTGATGCCATTGCACAAACACTGAGTGCGCTTAAATACTTTCAAAAGTACCTAAAGGCCTATCCAGCAATACCAGGGTTGAAGTTCATATTATTTAGAACAGTATTTGTGGGTACCCAAAACACTTCTTCAAAACATTGAATAACTGAAACCAAAACTAAAATCCAGCAATCAGTTGTGCAACCATACTTGAATTGCTGTAATATATGAGCAGTGTCAAATTCTAAGCTGTCACTATTATCCTGCATGCTCACAAGGAATCAGGTCAACTGATGAAGGGAAATCAATCCATACATCTCATAAAACCATTCTGCCTCATGAGCTCTAGCATCTATGACAAGATATATATATGTTGCATGCAAGTTGACCCCACCATGCAAGTTAAACTTGCATGGTAATTCATCGTGCAAGTTGAACTTACACAGCCAAATTGTCCTGGGTTAACTTGGACAGTCCATCATGGCATACAGATTGAACTTGCATGGGCAAACTCTTCTTCATGTTAACTTGGATTGCACATTTTCGTGCAAGTACAGAGAAGCATTTAATCTCAGCCAGAATAATGATTGTAAGCCTTCAGCATCTGGTACTTGCTTTATTTTCTAGCCAGCATGTCAAACACCATGAAATTAATTAGTTGATCACCCTTAGGAATAAAACGAAGAAACTGCTTCATGATATCAAATTGTCCACAATTAAAGAATCTGCAACAACTTTGTCAATGCCTGCATTCAGGCCTTTCTGTTAAGCACAACTTTTTTATTTCCATGCATTTCTTGGAACACGTCTATGACACGTGGCAACAAGAGCTGCACTGGGTATTATTGGCTATGCATTTGTACCTTTTTTTGTGCGGTTTTAGATGCATCGTTCGCAGAGGCGTATTTTACGGGAGGTAGGGGGAGGGGCGGCTGCCGATCAATCTTTGCAACCTTGACCTCCGCGACGGGGGCCTCCCGTACCTATCTATCGGAAACACTGGGTTGTTGGGAGACGGTCTTTTCGTAGCACTCCAACAGATAACCATTTAACTGAGCTTTCGCGCCCATTATTACGGATTTATTAAACGAAAACCACTATAAGAACGAGAACGTTCTCTCTCTTATATCGCACAGAACAAGGCGAGAGAATCAGGCTGTCAGTGAAAGCGGAAGGGTGAAGGCACCCCCTTATCGTTTTTCCAAGGCCAAGCGCACAACCTGTATTCTCGATAAAAATCGTCTAACTGTATATTCTTAGGGGGCTAGATATCCAACCATCCAGATATCCATATCTAGATATCCATATCAAGCCAACGCCTGAACTTGCACTGTAGTCCATCGAGTGGGTCAACTTGCATGAGAAAGAATGGATGCAGGTTAACATGCATAGGGAGAATCAGACGGGTTCAAGTTGCACGGAAAAGTCAACTTGCATACGACATATATATCAATATTATATAATGACTAGATGGCATCTAGTCATTCTTATTTCTTTCATTCCTTCTGCTATGACAATCAGTTCGAAGTTGAGTCACTCATTCATACCACTACACACTCCCATCCCGTCCGCATCAAACGCAACAACGTCTCGAACAAGTGTCAACTAAATTCTCGGAAAACCATTTGCGCATATTGGATACGGCACCAGGTGATCTAGATTTTTCCGACTTGATACAACGGATAAAACTCTATGCGATATATCTTTCGGAAACATGCTCGGTGTCGCGTATGCAGGTTCCTGGAATTCCTGGAATTTTTAAATTAAATTGGTCGTCCAGTAGTCTTATGGAGAGCTATCTATTGCGCGATGTCAGCGAGTCTGCCTGCGTCTGGCTGCTCTGTTGAACTTTCGGAGGACCAGTCCCATCGTATGGGTACCATCCAGGATTTTCACAGGGGCACACTTCGCTTTTTGACATCGCTCGAGTTATGAACTCAACTTGGATTATGAACGGCCAATTCCGCTGAAATGTTCACCTTAAAACCGACTCATATTGTCACTCATTCAAGTAAGTTTTCTTTCCTTCATCATCTATCGTTTTTCTTCCGCAGGTTTATGAATTTGAGAAATTTTTGGGCCACCTGGTATTCAGGGTGACCCAATTCAGGATTTTCAAAGGATTAGGGATGAGGGAGCACGAAGAGCAGAAGCGACTTGTTCTAATCTGCCTGTGAAAATTAATGACAGGTTCTGTGTACGCCTTATCCCGCATGGAATGGAACTTATTCCTGTGTGAACTTGAATATCTAATTAATCACTTCATCACCAGATATGATGTATAACATGGGATTTCGAGTCCTGAAAGTACTGCAATGAGCAAAAAGCTGAATAAATGCTCTAGAGAAGACCAATGCGAAGATAAAGTGAGTCTCTGACGAAAAAGGCTTTTATTACCTCTACGACTCGTGACACGAAAGGCAATTGGTATCATTTTTGCATTTTCTTTAAAAGAACTTCATGAACGACAATGTACGACAACGAGAAGCAACAGAAGGCTCTATCTGGGAAAGCCAATCACGCGAAGGGATTCCGCGCGGGAAGAGCGGCTAAAAACTTTCCCAAGTTCCTCTGTTTTCAACACGACGTCATTACTTTGTTTTGCAAGTCGCAGAGTTGAAGCTTGAAAAACATATAACAGTACTTCCCAGCTCTTATTGTGTCAAATATGAACCCCACTCAACATTTTATCCAATCTCAGCCATTATGTCATCCGACATTTTTGTCGGATTTCTCTATGGCAAACCAAGTAAGAGCTAAGTCTCGAACAGGATGGGGCAAGGATAGGGGAAAACTCCATGCTGGCTACTTTCCTTCTGTATCATGTCAGCTTCTGTAGTAAAAGCCGAAAAATAAAACATCTGGTGGTTGCGCCCTCGCGAGGACGATAGGAGAACTTCCTTCTCCAATCACAATCTTTTTTTCCACTCCTCTTTCGACAACGAACCTCCATTATCATTATCCTTTAACTGCACTTTTGTATCGGTGGCTACATCCCCTGACTCCCGATTCCGCCACAAGCTTGGCAAATCTATAATGTTTGGAGACCAGAGTTTTCCTGTTTAATAGCCCGTTTAATAAATAAAAAAAAAGGCCTCAAATGGTGTGGTGGCCGCAAGCCAACTCGAATCGAAGCCGAGAGTTTTCTTCCCTGAATTATATCTTACTATTTTTAATGGGACAACGAACAATGAAACAGATTGGATCGGACTTTTCATTGTGATCAAAGCATTTTCTTAGAGACATGGGTCTGTCCGGGATAGGAAGATCAGTATGCAATGCAGGCAGAGATTTGCTTTGCTTCAGTGCCCATATATAATCCATGCGGAATCGAAACGATCCGATCCGAGTTGGAACGTGGGGACGCGAGCCCCCCAGCTCGCACGACTTCTGAGATGGCTGCAAGGTTAATCCGATTCAAGCCCTCGAAAAATGGCACGCTGAAACATCTTCAGTTCCTGCCCAAAGACGAGACAGAGAGGGGCACAAGCGGAAAATGCCACTCAGAACGATGAATCCAGAAGACTTGAGCCCCAGCTCCCTCCCCACATTTCCGTGGTCTGCTGGAATACCGAAGGCAACCAGACAGCACGGGCGTTCCCCGACCCTCGTCTCCATCATACAATATGCCAATCATCCTTTCGATTTGGTTCACCCGAACTACTGCGGTCGTGCATGACAGCAGCAAACAATTCAAAATTAACGTGATTAAACAATCAATCAAATTAAATTTTACGAAATCAATATCGCCAAAATATACAATCATCTGGCTCCCATGTTGCGTATAACTTGAGGGTGACATTTTCTTGTTCTAGCATGTTTTTTTCTTCCTGTAGCATCCCTTTGACTCATGTTGGTGAGTTGACATTTCTCCTAAACAATACCCCATAAAGGCTACTACGCATGCAGGAACGTTAGGAATCCGGCAAATTTCAAGGGAATACGAAAATATGTGCATACTTGAGCGTGCTTGTTATATACGAGGAATGTTTTGAAAGTTCTTAGTTACGTCATATATAATGGTACAATTGAAAAATGTGTATTATCAGGCGAAAGGACAATCCATTCCCGAACGTTTCCGAAGATAGCCGAAGTCTTATCATCGGTCTATAAAAGCAGCTGACGCGATTGAAATTCATCATTGCGGCTTGCGCGGAATTCTGCTTCGCCATGACAACGCACCGGCGCACAGTGCCGCTGGGACGTTGGACTTTTTACACCAATCTGATGTCAAACTATTTGAGCCATCAATCTTACAGTCCGGACTTGGCCCCTTGCGACTTTTTTATTTCCTACAATAAAAAAACACAATGCGGGGAAGGACATTTTTGCGTGCAGATGCAATCGTCACAGAATTCACGAGCCTGTTTGAGGACCTGCCAAAAGAAGCATTTTCAACTTGTTTTGACAAATGGTTTCAAAGAATGAATAAGTGTATTAGTGTTGGGGGAGACTACTTTGGAAAACAATAAATAGAATTCAACAAAATTATTGGCCTTCTTTCTTTAACTAAAAACTTTCAGAACAGCCCTCGTATCTGGATTGAGATTGATTGAAACCTGTGTGCCAGTGGATAGGTTCGGGATGCAATTCATCGAGACCGTGGAATACTAAGTACGTTCGAGATGCCAACAAGCAAAAGAAATCATTTCTGCGCGCTCGACGAAAGTAACGTCAAGAAGACAAATTTGGATCGCACACGTACTCTGTGCATGTCGGGGAAGAATAACCACAAGAAATTTAAATATATATATGTAAACAAAACGGTTGCAGGAGCTCCTTATTACATTACGCCTTTTGTCATTCATGTCATGCATGCAGGAGGCGGAGCTCCAGGAGATATTGTCTGTGCTGTGGTGGGGAAAAAAGGAAAATGTGCCAGTGAGAACAAATCACTATTAAATCCTTCGGTTATTAGATAGAAATATTATCTCAGATCATAACGATGTGGGGTTGAGAATATTTTAAGGGTTTTACAGACATGAAATCCGATCCCTACTCAGAACACTTTAATGATTTTTATGAGTTCAGTAGAGCATATCTAAAAGAAATTTCCTGTTTGAGGGCATCTGGTTTTTCCATCACACTTTAAAAATATCTTAAGTGTCACACTCAGCAAAGAAAATATTTGTATATTTGCATGAAGCATCCTGTTACCAATACATTCATACATATACATGCCATTAGCATACAATAATAGCAGCAAGAACTCAAAATGCAGATGCTTCTGCTCCATTCTATCTCCTCTGTTATTCCTTTCTCTGCTAAGCACTGTGCATCATGTGCCTCATGAAGTGCAGCAGTTACAAAAGAGATGGCATGGCTTTCCAACTTTTCCCCAGCTAAAGATCTAGGGTGGATTTTTGAACAGAGCACTATCCGATAATGCAGCGTTATTTACTGGATTTATTATGCATTTTCTCTGAAATAAAGCTGCATTATCGGATAATGCTCTGTTCAAAAATCCACCCCTAACCTCCCAAGCCCTTTAACATTGTAGGTGATACATCAAAAAATGAGTTGCATTTGCTTGCTGCTGACCCCTCTTGATAAAGAGCCATTGCTTTCAATATGGTATAACAAAGACCAATAAAATGACATGGCATTCTATACCATCACTTGGCACAATCAAGCGGTTTTCAACGTATCAGAATTACAATTATGTACACTCATGGAGAAAGCTTTCCACATAACTGTGACAGAAATAGGATGACCTAGTGGCAGAATTAACATGAGTCATAAAGCTAAGGATAGACCCTTGAGAGATGAGGGAGCAGTATAGAATACCACATGATATCCTGTTGCATGGCATACTCATGCTAATGCCAGACTCACCTGGATGATGAGTTTCAAAGTGCCTTGGTATGGTCCACCTTTGCGGGCACCATTCAGATGCTTCAGTTGAACATCCTCTTCCACGTATATCACCTACATAGGACAAAAGCAGCCAAGGCTATAGTAAAGCCTTCACCGTGAATAATATATTAGCCAGCAGCTCTATCAGATGGAATCCCTGGGCTTAGCAAATCAATTTCATCCATGTTTGGCCAGAGTAAAGCCTTTCATATTACAATGCAAGACTGGCTGAATCTTGAGCTCTAAACATAATAGATCCAATGACACATCCCTGGACTATTTTTTGAAAAAGTTCACCCAAATGACCAAAATAACAGGAGCAAAGTGGTCAACTGTGACATTCACAAAATGAATTCTCACTAATAAAAGCATGGGATATGCAGATATAAGGTTACTACCAGGTAAAAAAGACATGCTTGAACTGATGAATTGAATCATGGCATTTATAGCATATCTCTCATCCTGTCCTATGCCACAGAAACCTGGGTAGGCCTGTAAAGATGCAAATGGGAAAGAAACATGGGAACAGAAAAATCTCAGACCTGTGTGATGGATGACCTGGGTCATGAAACAAAGTGCAAAACATGTAACTGACTGAGTTGAGTTATTACCAAAGTCAACATGGCACAATGCAATGATTCAGGACATGCCTTCAATCAAAACTACATGCACACACTATGATGAAACTGACTTGCTAAAGAAAAACAAAAGAAAGTTCCATTATGAGGGTTATGAAGATTACCATAATCTCAAGGTATCCAGATGACTGGTGACAGTATAACAATTTGTAGGACAAATGGTGACCAGGTGGTGGGAAGTCATCCTGCCTGACTAAGTAGTCAACCAATGGGAAGCTATACTATAAACTTTCAGAAAGAAATATACAAAAAATTTTACATCCTGTAGTCCAGTTGAATGGCAATATTTTCAAAGGTTAGTCTCAGTAAGATACAAAATGATAGGAAATAGGTTTACAGCTAATGCTACATTAACACCAACAGATCATGCTTCTTTACTGAAGGAATCTTTAGCTAAAGATGCTTAGGGTATGATACAATACATCAATACCTCTCTCTCAAGGGTTTAATAGAAGGGAAGCAGACAATCTCAAACCAGTACATGCCCAGATGCAAAAAGTAAATTGTCAACCAAAGATACACCAGGATGGCAGTCCAGCTAAATGATGGTTTGAAGAAGTCAGCACAAGCACTAACTGCACACTTTTTCCACCACTGAAGCCAATTCAAATAATGTGCCAGATATCCTTCAAGTCAAGAATCCCTGAAGAGGCTCCTTGTGAATTTGGCAATGTGTATGTTTTTCTGAGAACATTGTTTGGGCCCTTCAGACAATATAGATTTGGGAGAGAAGCAGAAATGTAGCATAGAGTGATGTAAGTCACAAGTTTGCTCCATTGCAAGAGGAAACAAAAACCTCATTATAGAAAAAAAAATTCTCCTAATGAGAAATCATAACAAAAGCAAGGATCATGCTGCATTATAGGCAAGCAGGGAAGTGAACAGAAGAAGGGCTGATCACTACTGCCACATTTATCACCTGTGTAGCTCATTTCACATGCTACCTTTGGAAGTGCACCAAGCTGGCAAATCATATGGATAGCAATAAATTTGTCCATTTTCAAGGTTACTCATCCCTACCTAATGGAGTTGCTGTTGAAGTGGGCCCAGAAGTATCTTCCAATGATCACAAACCCAAGCCATGGACTCAAGATCAGCAGGTGGGAAACCTTGCCTCTCAAAATAAAGCTATGCAATGTGGTCACTTCACCTTGTATAAGGTCTGAATGTCATCCTAGACATACAAACTCTTCGTGGGAATCTCTCAAGGGGGCACATGGCAGGTAAGTCCAAGCCTACAGGCCTGCCATCTCTCACAGAGAAGAAGTGGTTACACAACCTGAAGGTTCTCGTGGATGTGTCACACAACAGCTGCCAGACAAAGTTCTCACTTTGAGAGCTTATATCAGTGATCTTATTACTTAATTCTGAAGTTCATTACCATAGAAGAGCAAGGAGTGATAAATGCTCTTAAAAATGAAAATTTCCTCGGGCAAATATGGTCACAGATAACACATGATAAGAAAAACATTAATGTCTGCCTCATAAATCAATGCCTACATCTGCTTTATACATCAATGTCTATGTCTGTTTCAATTACAGTGAATAATGTAATGAACTTGAAACTGGAATGTCTTCACATAACTGCCACATTTCCTATCCACCATTGTGACAGGTCCTAATATTGCTACACTACAGCAATTTTCCAAGATTAAAAAAAAATCATATTCTGTTCCCAAGTTTGAACCATTCATATTGTCTTGTTGGTCCAGGCTGGGAAGTCTTCCTTAGTGGACCAGGCCTACCAAGGTTTCAACAGTTTCCCATTTTTAATGGTAACATTAGGCCCACAAACATGACATACCTCCTGCTAAACTTAAGCCTATGGCCAAACCTATGACGATTGGCTGATAATTTAGACCTATTAAGCCTAGAAATGTAAATAATAATAAAATTGCTGGCAGGGCAGTATACATAGGCGCAAGCCGAAGTTACTCACATCTCCAGACGTGGTGACAGCTTCGTAATAAGACATTGGTGTGGTCAAGTGCCCAACACGGTCAGAAGCTTCCGACAAACAAGGAAGATGCAACGTGAAAATGTGACCAACTCAAGAGCACCAAGTATTCCGTGAGACGGTCAGCCTGCGAATGCGACGGCTCACCTGATGGGATTAGGTATACATCGTCGTTGTCGATGTCTCATGCTCATGTGACGTGCGGGTGGTCTACGGTCGCGTTGTTATGAATCCATGTGAGATGCTCATGCGCTACAGTCATTTCCAGTGTTGCCACGATCCAGACTTTTACGCCACTACGACTTAGTACTCATACACTTCTCGATGACTATTTCCTTTTCTACTATAACTTTTCTTACTTCAAATAAGAGGAAACTGAAGTCTATTCATTATGCGGAAGAAAAAAGTGTGACATGACGTAAGAGAATATTTCTCACGAGCCATGATTTGTTTGACCAACAACGAGCAAACACTTATTTCCGCATTCATTGTAGAATTTACCCACTCGCCTCGCAGAGCTTAAAAGTTGAGCCTTGCTGTAATAATTCTAAATTCAAAGGTTGTTATTGCCGTATAGAGAAGGAAAGGAAAGACTGAACAGCTTTTTTTAAATGGTTGTCTTGGACGAATGCAAGACGCATTGACTCGAGTTCCATAACAGATCGGTCGTCGCCCAGAATAATCAATACCGTGATCTTCATTGTGCTTCTCGGTTCTGTTGACTATTTGGCTGCCGGGGAGCGGGCAATCCGATGTTTCTGGGTACGTCGCGCCTCTTCGTGCCACATCCAGACTAGAGAGGGACGCGGAACCTCCACTCTCATGGGATTCCCGCGGGAATCGAGATTGGAGTCCCGCGGGAATCAAAGCCCTAACTGTCTGTCTGCTACCAGCCAAAGCGTGGCATGGCACTGTGCTTTCTGGGCAGACCAGAAGCCGATCCAAGGATAAAACGAAACAAACAGCTGACTTCGGTTATTGGGACTTGAAAGGAACTGACGCTCGACGGCAAGGAGTCAGCACTCGTGGAAGAGGCTAGTAAGCGAGGAATAGATACCATCGGCGTAAAATCGACCGAGAGTGAAGGCATGGGTTCCATCGTCCTAGACCAGCGGTTCCCAGACTTCTTCAAACCGCGACCCACTTGCCGACGCCCAAAAAAGTTCGCTACCCACCGCAATCCAGAATTAAGTATTTTAAAATTATGGCGTAAAGAAAATTCACAGACTGCAGCGTTTGTTTTATCCTGAGTGTGACTTGTGCGTTTGGTGCACTTTGCAGAGGTACTCTATTCTGGGAGGAATCTTTCGCGAGGCGAGTCGGAGATCGTTCTCCACTTGTAGCAGCAAACGAAACTTTGTTTTCATCAAAGTCAGAGAAGAGAATCCTATTTCACACATATTTTATAGCGAAGAGAAGCAGCGCCCGTGTCGCCTTCTTTACAAGAAGAGGATAAGTTTTATTTTTTGAATTGAGAGTAAGGTGGAAGAAAACGGAAGGAGGGGAGACCCGCAGGTGGAGGTGTGCAAGGGCAGAGCAAATTCGATTACTCAGGATTGGCGCATGCGGGTATAGCATTTTTTTTTATCGTGGGAAACTTGTCACGACCCACCTTGAAGCCCTTCGCGACCCACGGTTTGGGAACCGCTGCCCTAGACAACGAGTGGGCCTTCCACCAGAAAATATACAGAGTTGAGGCGACACTCCGGAATCGGGATGACGTCTGGTGACTTTTAGTCAACAACAATCCCTTTAGGCATATTTCTTCGCAGCGGGACCGGGATTTCGACGCTTAAGGAGTCAATCGAGAGAGTTCTATTAATGTCTCGTGGAGTCTCTTGCCCGGCCACGAATTCGCGGGTGTCCGCTCGCTCGACAGCGACAACCGACCCCGTCGATGAATGGGACTCGATAGAGGAGTTATTGGCATCTTGCACCGTGTGTCAGGCGCCCTTTGCGTCGATGCGCGGGCAGGTAAAATAATTGGACTCACGCATGTCCACTTAGCTCCGAGGGTTTTCACAAATCGCGAGGCTTGCGTGTGGAAATTGAATGAGCTGAATCGAAAACGCAAGCCTTGCGTTTTTGTGAAAACCCTCGTATGTAAGTGGACATGCGTGCGTCCAATTACTTGCCCAAGCATCCACCCAAAGGACGCATGACACGCCAAGTGCGAAACGCCTTTTATACACTACTTTGCTTCTACTCAGGGCAGGGGGGTGGGGTGGGGGGGGGGGGGGGCAGATGGGGCACTCTACCCCAGGTCCCGCGTATCAAGAGGCCCCAAGGGGGCTTCCAAAGGGCCTCAAGGGGGCCCCCAAAGGGTCTCCGGTTTAGTTTTCCCGGGGTCCCTGGAAACCTCTGGGCGGCCCTGCTTCTACTGGAGTGAAGTTGACCCTATCGTGTTTGCCGAGAGGAGGATGAGGATGTTCATCGGCTGGCTGAGAGCTGACTGGAAACCGATCGGTGAAGGGGTTGCTTTCATACACTATATGGTATATACACTATACTCTCATACAATATATATATATTGCTCTCGTCCGCAGCAGACTGGAACGAGCTGGGGTCCGGGCCACCGTTCACGTCTTCTAGAGGGACAGTGAGCCGGGCGAGGATGAGGGACACGCGAGGCTGACAGGGGATCGTGCGAATTCGGTGGTCGACCTTGACCCAGATTCCAGAAATAAACTCGAAGCTTCAAAGACGTGGTAGGAAATTTCTTTCATGCATAAGTTTTGATTTTTTTTTCTCTCTCTCTTTCTTTATGGTAATGCGGTTTCTTTGGGTTTGAATGAGGTTGCGGGACGGACAATTTGAATTTGGGATTCGAGATCGAAGGCGTCGAAGAAAGCGCCCATACAGTGCAGCAGTCCTTTAGACCCGGTCTCGGCAGAAGCCTCAGAGGGTCTCCGAATTCACTGCGGCTGGAACGAAAATCTCCAAGCCCCTTGTCATGGTTCTCTCGTCAAATCCTAAGATGTGCGCCTCGCATGTCAGGTGGTCCCGAGAAAGCTTTTGGCTAAAAGAACGAAATGCAACAATCGCATCTTCAGTGCTTCAGCAATTTTGTGGGAATTTGGTGGCCAAATTGAACATTTCCATCGAGGCGAAACTCTCAGTTTCAATGAGCGTTTACCTCATCAACATCACCAGTGGTCATGAACTTTGGGTATTAACCGAACGAAAGACACTGCATGTGAAAGCTGTTGCAGTGAAGTACTGGCATCGGGTGGCCGATGTCACACGCCGTGAAAGGATGCGGAATATCGCATTTCATGAGAACCACGAGGTCATGCAGACATTTCAGAGGATTCAGAGACGAGAAGTCGGTGGTTCTGACACGTCTGGCACATGTCCAATGAGAGACTTCCAAAATGAGTCTCTCGGTCCAAGATGGCCTGCATAAGGTCAGTCGGTAGAACTTTCACAAAAGATGAACGACTAACGGTATTCCAGCAGCTGTGATCGCGTCGACTGCTCGGGATTAGGATTTTTCAAGACCTTTGGCTGTAAGGGAAGATTCTGCAATGGTATGCGTGAATGTAAAGTAAGACAAGTCAATAACAACAAATGGTTTATGTAAAAAGAAAAAAGAGTATACTATGAGATCAAATAGTGGGAGGAGTGTAATCATCCGTCTGTCGAAGGGATTTCCTCCTCTTCATCCTCTCGATGATCTTTGCAATGTGCGGCGGAGCAGGGCCACGTCGGCGGGGGATGCGTCTCTCCAGCTCTGCCTCCAGCTGCTCCTCTCTCTCGTAAAAGAACGCCTCTCGTTCCTTTCGCACGAGTTCTTTCTTGGCCTTCTCCACTTTGTCCAGTCGCTGGCGGATCTCCACTTCTGCCAGCTGTCGTGTCAGCTCCCGCCGTCGAATCGCTTCCCACGTCTCCAGGTTCTCCCTCCAGGTCTTCATGTCCACCGGGCCTCGTTCTGCGATGGCGGCTCTGAGCCGCTCCTCCACGAGCTTCTGCAAACTCTTCTCTTCGATATGGCCTTTCACACTTATGCCTTCATCTTCCCCTCTGAGCTTCTTCATCTCCTCCACCTGATACAGATGGTTATGATCCCAAAATTGTACTTAAAGGCCTCACCGCATCCCACACAAAGAGTTGAGAAATACCTCCACTCAAATTGGGTCACTCATGACTTACCACCAGAAAATCATGATTTAGGGTCAGATGTTTTATAAAGGGGACTTATTGTTGAATTGGATTCAAGTTACATCTTGTCGGCAGAGTTCTAGCTAGATTGTCATCAATGTGGACGAACTACCGAAAAGCATAGTTCCTTGTGAGGTTCTTTTTCCTAGGCATATCATACGATGGTAAAAAAATGCTCAGGGAATCGTTACTACAAAAACTTCTCACTATATATAATGAAATTTAGTACAAATGTACCCTTTGAAAAGGGTCCTTGCAACTGCACAGCATTTTCCCGATCTGTGAACCCAATGCTATAAGCAAGATAGGAAAAACTGCCTAGGTTGCTGGGGAAGAACAGATGATGTACAGATTATGATAATTTCAATTTTGGTGTACAGCAGAACTTATGAATGGGTAGGTTTTGTTTGTCATCATCTGTCAATTGAAAATGGCTGTTAGCCTTTCAATAAAGATTCTATCGATTTTGGATAGAGGCAGGTCAAGGGGTCTCTTGGGTTGTGCTTTTAAGTTTATCTGGTGTTGAAGAAAGAAGTTTGGTTTGATATGGCAAGGAGTGTTGCCACAAATGAATGATGCCAGACTAACCCACATGACCCATATTGCTATGGAGGCAATTTACAAACTGCTTTGCAAGATTCAGCCCCATCCACATTTTTGACAGGGTGGAAACATCATGTCATCAGACTTAAGGCTCCTTGGACCATCAGAGTATGAAATGATAGGTTATCAGTCATTTTCAATGACAGATAATCAGCAGGCAGAAGATACTTGCTGATGCTGCCAAAAACCTTGGGAAATAGTCTCCTTTGGTTCCTAGCAGAGGATTCACTAGTAAGGAAAATGCCATGCAGTTGTAGGGGGCTATATAGAAAGAGTACATGTGTACCCAGTATCAATAGGTTAGGTATGCAATTTCTGCAGTAAAAATTCCTAAAATTTTAACAGCAACTCTTGTCTATCTGTAGAGGCAATCACACTGTTGCCAAAGTATGACATAAGTTTGACTGGAATGTGGATTGGCACTTCCATTTGAACACCAATGCATTTCAGCTCACAAACAAGTAAGAAGCACTACCTATAATTTCATTTAAGAGAGAAAGAGACCTTTCAACAAATTTTATTTTCAGTCTAATGGGACTTTTTTTTTCCTCCTCCCATCCCAATTTCTTCTTGGAAACCCCATGGAAAAAGGAGGTCATGTAATTATATGACACAAGCAGAACTCTCCTTCCTCACTCACTGCCTGCCTCACTCTGGCTGGCCGAATATGGAAGCAAATTACGCAATCAGGGAATGTGCTTCAAGTATCCTTGAGTCTTCAAGAAGGATGTGCCATAGCGTCAAGAAAAATTTTCTCAGTCACAGCTTTCTCAGTCTTTCCTTTTTCTTTGGATGAAAGGAAAGAAATGGGAGAAGTAAGAATCAGCCATGTCATCAATAAAAAGCTTGTGAAGTGGTCAACCCAATTATAAAAATTTCCTTGTTAGAGTCCCATGTGTAAGATTCAGATTTAACTCCATCTTTATGTATGACAGACATAGAGGCATCTGTATCTTTCCCCAGATTTTCTGAGAAACCTTTCTTCTAGTGGGGAATCTTATATATTTTATTCAGCAGGTCGATTTTGGTGTCTGCAGTAAATACTGAGAGATGTTGCACCTGACAAAGCATAGATGTCCAGAGCACCATTGATATTCCCCAAAAGCAAGAAACACTTTGGTTGTGGCTTCACATACACTTTTTATAGTAGATATTGACAAGGATTCCTTGTGAGAAAGAGCTGAAAGTTTGAAATACAAAAGGCTTGATTTTAAATCACCTATTCAAAACCATGGTGATTCAGACTTGATTTAAACTCAATGAAGCCTGCCTTGTACATCATAGCAGGTTCTAAAATCATTTGTCCAGCATCCTGAAAAATGTGATTTGAATTCATGCTCACAGGTCTGTAGGCATGAAAAGAATGCTTGAGGACTCACTGCATCATGAGTGAAGGTGTAAGACTGCAGTGAGGAGAGACTGCTGACAATATCCCACTTCCCCCAAAGTGCATGGCCAAGGAGTTGACAACTGGACATCAGTGGGTCATTGGCATCAAGTTCCAGGTTCCCACTGACCCATGCCAGAGTCTTCCCCACCATCGGTTTCCACTCCCGCAGATCAAAATGATCATCAAAGTAGGGTCTTGCCAAGAATGGGACTCGCACCTTCACCTCATCTTCATCCTCTTTAGATTCCTCTTCTGCATGTGCCTGTAATTCTGGATCCCAAGGTTCTGGGTTTGGGCTCTTGATGTACTTCAGGCAGGACATCAGACCCAAATAGCAAGAAATCTTGTTTTCATAGTCTTCTTGAAGCATCAGTAGACATGCTGTCCTTGCAGCATCTGCATAAACAGGTCAGTTCTCGGTGATGGAAAAAATGGATAAACAGTTTCTAACAATGGTTGCAAATACATTTGAAGGTCCATTAAAATGATCCAGGCAATCATGACAGCTATTGATCCAAATTCAATATTGGTGCTATTCATTACTGATGAAATGGCATCCCTTGACACTTTTTTCTGTTCATTCCCTCTACCAGCCTTTTCTCAGAAGACTTCTAAGAAAAATTCAAGAAATCCATAAAATGTGAAAAAGGTGAAAGCAAAGAGAGCCAAAGTGAAATGGGGAAATAATATTGAGACCTTCTATTCACCTCTTGTATTGGAGTTGAGGAGGCAATGGTCCATGATAAGGTTGAGAGCATGATGATCAGGGAAGACACCATAGTTGATACGATCTGACAAGATTCGCATGAGTGCCTCTGTCTGATTGTGTTCAAGGAAGGTGCGGACAACAGAATACTGTGTTGAAGGAAGCATGTAGATGGTCTGAGGGGTTCGGCGAAATCGATGCAGCAGATCTTCAAGCTCTTCTAGCTGCTCCCCTCCCTCTGCCTTCACTGCAAACTGTCAGAGAAGCATCTGACAGAAATGACTCATGCAACATGGCATAACTTCCTATACAGTAGGCAGTGCTCTTTAATATGATGAGATACATAGGCACAAGCTCAACTCCCATGAACATAGAGTGAACAATTTGGCACCATCTTATTGTCTACAGCCGGCATGACACCTCATCCCTCAGATTTTGCAAGTATGCTTTTCTCAAATGGTACTCCTGAACTACATGCAAACTCTTTGTCTCAACCACGCTCAAGAGGATGGAGTGGGACAGAAAGGCATTTATAAGATGCCTGTATCCCTGGCTATGTTGGGGGGAGGGGCTATGTCCCCCTTGTCAGCAGGGGAGATGACAATGACAATGGGTTGCTTATTGCATTCAATGTCACTGACATTGAACTGACACTGACATTAGAGAAGCTTTTCTGGGTATGAAACAATAAACAATGAGCACATTTCTTGAATCGTAATTTTGATTTTTGCACAAGTAAAGGACATTTGTGTCTGGGTTTCTTACTATACTATAAGGTAAGTTTGCTTTATTGGGGCAGCCACTTAATTGGGGCAAATCGACCTGGAACCAATGTGTCCCAATAAAGCGGAATCCACTCTATATGATATGCAATAGTTTAAAATTATTTTTAGAGTGCTAAGGCATGGTTGAAGTATGACTCTCACCCAGAAATATCATCCCCAATCTCAAGTCTTACTTGAGAGGAAAGAACATCATATGAAACTAAATCCTGACAAGGGCAGATTAGACAACTCCAATGACCTATAGTCTATGTCTAAAAGAGTGGGGCAAAAGAAAAAGTTCCCAACACAGTTGCAGACAGAACATAATACAAGGCATTGAAAAGAAATTTACAGGGTGCCACATTTAACAAGCATACATGATTTTTTTTTAATTTAGATCAAATTGGTCATGCAGAACCTGAGCATGTCAAAGGAGTGAATGTGCCTCTCTGCTCACCTGGACTAAGGGTGGGCTAACAGCATACTGAGGAAACAACTAGTATTTGCAAACTGGCAAACTCCTTCATATGACATCAAGCAAAAAAGACTGACTTGGGTACTTAATGACAAATTCTACTTCAAATTTCATGAAATTACCAAAATGGATTAAATGTGACACTAAGAAGAGTATTTTTTCAGTTTTTCAGCCCTCCCTTTTAAGGGACAGTGTCAAGTCCAATATCATTGGCAAGCAACAGATTTGAAAGCTGCCTTTACAGAGCACTTGTTGTCTTTCTTCCTTCAGTGATGTACTATTGTTCCACAAGAGAGAGAAGAGAGTGAGCAATCACTCTGAATTGCAAGCATGGCAGAGTATTTAAGAAGTTTCCATTTCCAATCAAGGCACATAATTACATGGTTTAGCATCTGTCTAGAGGTATCCAGCAGATGGCCCACATTCATTTCAAACACAAGTCATCAATGATAAAAATGTGAAAACTTGAAGTTGAAACTCCTACAGTTCAGTAATGTCTTAAGATGCTGTCACTGCCAACTCTGAAGACTGCATCTTCTTAAAAACCATTATAAAGAATGGTACTTCCTCCTAATATGTATCATACAGAGCCTCATAAATTTCAATCTGTTCATCCATAAAAGAAAACAGGGAAGAACACCTGATACTGAAATTTGATGCAAGTGTTCTGAAGGAGCATTGACTTTGTGTAACATTCAGCCCTTTTGATAGGTATTTCACCAGGAAATAGAATAATTGCCAAATCTGTGGCATTAATTGAAATGTATGGTCACACATATAAAACTTGCACTGAATTGTGTTCAATAACTTTCTGAACATCCTCTGCAAGTCCAAGTAAAGCACTTTTTTAAACTCTAGTTTCAACCTTAAGGCCTATAATGTGAGTCTTCTTTACCAGATCCAGATCAACTGCATTAATCTTCCCACTTGACTTGAACTTTCCATCCAGGCTGAAGAAGAAATCCTCTGCAAAATAAAAACCAAGGAATCGAATAAAAATTAAGAAAATGAATGCATTCAAAGAAAAATTAGAGAAGAAATCTGCATGAATTTCAATATAAAAGTAGACTAGCCCTCAAGCTTCAGTAATATGCAGGCCTTTGCAATGCTTTACCATCATAGCAGACCTAAGCTTAAGCTACATTGTGGTTCCTGATGAGAAAAATAATTGCAGCAATTTACCAAGGACATGGATAATTGGAACCTAGAAGCTTGACTGTTATTGGCCCGAGAATAAGCCTAATATTATGCATACACTTACATTTGAAACGCAACTAAGATGATGAGTCCATGAAAAAGTGGAAGCTAGAGCTGAGCAGAGAAACCTAGACCACAGTCACACAGTAGAATAATAATTATTAAAAAAAAAACATGTTGTGAAATAAGTAAAGTCCCATTTTAAGCTGAAAATTCTATCATATTGGTCATAAACCTTCAGTAGGTTGAATAAAATATTCAGAGGAAAACAAAGCAACCCTAATTTTATTCAGTCAAGCTGTGGCTTCTCACCCATTTGAATCTTTTGGATGATAGGAGATCGAAGACGAGCTTCCCATTCTTGCCGGAGTTGGTAGGCCTCCGAGAGGTAGTTTCTTGTCCAGCATGATAGTAAAGGCATAGGCCTCTTCTTCCCGACGGGGCCGACTTCAGCGTGCAGTCGAACAAATAGAGAGGCGCGCAGCCCCGGTAACACGTGCTTCCAGCAGCGGATCGCCATGTTGGAATCGGCGAGTGACGTCAGAAGTCTATTGTGCAATCTGCACGTGTGGCCCTCACCCATAGTGCACTCGCTCTACGCCCTATTTCTGTCGCTCTTTGTGCGGAATGCACAGTTGCAGCCAGGGCAACCTCTTAAGATGCTCCATAATTTTCCTGCAGCCATGCGTCGAAGGCAAAGAAGCATAAGTTCTCTCATTCGCTCTCAATTCGGCTTTTACTTGCAGGGAAGCGTCGACGCTTGGCGGTCAGACCAGCCTGAATAAATTATTCATCGAGGCAGAAACCCTTTCTTTTCAAATGCCATCGAGACAAGTGGTATCTTTCATTCGCTAAACGATAAAAAAAAAAAACCTTGAAAACAGAAGCATGACCGCACGAAGCACGCCATCGAGCGAGAGAGAAGGACACCCGTTTTGTTCCCAACCATAGAAGCCAGGGGCTTCGGGGTTATATAGCCTTGGGGAAAGGAATACGACGTGAGAAATGCTGTCTGGCATTTCGTATCTCACAATCGTGCCATCCCACCCCTATTTGCGCAATGCCACTGAGTGCCTTTCGCGAGGATCGTTATGAACTGCCCTCAGATGGTTTCTCGACAGTTTTTCATTCATGTGTATGAATTTATTTCTTTTTACTGCGCAAGAACTCGTTTACCCGAAGACAAAAAAAATACACCCTTTTTTTTTTAGCCATGAATATCTCAATCTCGTTTCTCGGCGAAGACACCGCAGTCGGCTGGAAACGAGTGGAAAATTTTCTTTTCTTCTGAATCCGACAGATCGAAATGGAAGCTTCTGGCGTCGCGTTGAAAACGACAGGAATTCCCTCTCGAAACGCGTCTTCTCCTTTTGGAGCATTTGCGGCTCAAAAATCCCCTGAGATTTCACGCGTGAAGCTTCGCGAAAGCTTCGAGATCGATCAGCCGGTGGAGAAACTCGAGTTGGAAAACTCGGATGGCCATCAAAAATTTTCCTACAATTTTTATTATTATTTATTTTCGAAATTGCTTTCGAAAAAAAAAAAGTGTGGCGGTTTTCTTGGACCAGGAGTTGAAATAAGGCGTCGGCGACACGCTTCGAAAAAAAAAAATGCATTCCCGCATCAAAAACGCACGATCGATAGCGAAAGAGAAAAACGCGGGACAGAGCCCCGTGAGCTCGACAGCCACCAGCTTCCATCACCTCCTATTAAGGGTTGTATGTTGCAGATAAAGCGAAGAGAAAAGGAAGGAAAGGAAGGAGGAGGAGGGAAAGGAGGGAGGAGGAGGGATGAGGAGGGAGGAGGAGGGATGAGGAGATTTAATGCCAGGAGAAAAGGAAAACTGGGAAGTCGTGTCTCGTTATCGTGAGAGGCGCTGCTGGGCCCGCCATCTAGGGTGTCGTGAGGGAGGTAAAGACTTCTGCAGTGGCGATTAGTGTCTGATCAGGGAGCAGAGCTGCTCGCGCAAATCAGCTTTCATGCCTTCTCTTAGGAGATTATATCATGCAGTCCCAAAAAAGGATCCTGATTATGAAGATGCGGAATAATTGGATTGGCGGTGAAGCGCCAGATGCGAGGGGGGAAGGGGGGAGGTGGGGGTGGGGGTGGGGGTGGGGGGTGGGGTGGGGGTTGCTGGGGTTCGAGGGTTCCGGTTGGTCTTTTTTTTCCCGAAGCTTCCTCTCGGGCCGCATTAAAGCGCTTTGACTGACTTGAAAGAGCGCTTTGACTCGCTTTCGCCACCCTTTTTAGGGGGAATGAATTCGTTGCAACGAACTGAGAGAACACGTTCCCGCGATCATGATATTTATGACGTCTGAAGCCTTCAACCACCATGGTCGCTTTGAAAGTCTCACAACCGATTTCAATTCTAACGAAATTGGGGGGAATCGGGAGAGCTGCTCCTTCCGATTCTCCGAGGCCGAAAGCTGGTTCCGCCAGGGTTGCCAGATCCTCCGACCGAAAAAGCTTTCGCTGAAAAACCGTTTATCCCTTTCGATCTGGCAAATCTTTGTTTAATCTCTCCGGCACGAAACGCGTGGGAGATCGAGTCCTTGGCCCTCGCTCCGATCGCGTATCAAGATATTTTATTTATTTATTTTTTTATCAGTTGCTCTGTTGAATAATATTCGTGTCGGTAAACATCGACACGACATCGACACGACCGTCGAGAACGAGATCGTCCCCTCGGAAACCGGTGTCTCGATTTCAGTTTCGAAATATCCCGAGGCCTTCCTCGTTCGATCTCCGAGTTGAACGCCCTCATTTCTCTTCGTTCGTCATCCCCCGCAAAAATGATTCAGCCTCCGGCCACGATTTTGCCGATTGCGAATCGTTTCCTCGTTTCGGTGAGCGAGTCGGTAGAAAGTGTCGGTCGGGGAGGGTCGACACGGAATCGATTGCGGTCGACAAGGAAACGATCGGTAAGGGAAAAAGAATTTATACTGAAGCGTTCGAGCACGACAGCGCAAGTCCTAACACGGAAATGCGAGCTAATCATGGCAAGAACACGAAAGCGACATGGAAAGGACACGGAAAGAACACGGAGAACCGACGCAACTCGTCTTTATCGGACAGTAATCGAGGTTAAGACTATAAACGACGGAATCGTTCTGGCCCCGACGATTCCCGCGAGTGCGTCGCACGAAAACCAGGCAACGGGGCGGGGCGGGGCGGGGCGGGGCGGGGCGGGGCGGGGGAAGAGCACCTCAGACGAAAGAAACGTGCTCGACGCTGCTGACGTCACCTCGTATGCATTTATGGCACAGAACAGGAAAGAAGAAAAATAAAAACAGCGGGGGAAAAAAAACAAGGAGTGGGCGATAAAATTCGGAGGAAGAAAACGGCGAGAGAAGTTAGGAATTACGGCAATCCTTTCGTCGGCAAAAAAAAAGTACGGAACTACTCGTTTCCGCGGAATAACGTGAAAACAGGGACACACGAGAAATTTCGGCTTTCGGGATGCAAAACGTAGACTCATCGTGACGTGAGAAGTCCTCGTTTCTTTTGTTTCTCTTTCGGCAAGTCACCGAGCGATGGAACGGATTCGTCCGAGCGAGGATGAAATATCCGCGAAACGGACGAAAAAAATATTTTCGCGCCGTGGAATAATGGCTTGAGAAAGCCACAATTCCTCGCATTTCAGAGTTTTCGTGAAATCGCGCCACGGTTGCAATGAAACGTCCCCCTCCCCCCAGCAGTGGCGTAGCGAGGGGGGGCTGAGGGGGGGCTTTAGCCCCCCATTGACGAAAACCTGGCTACGCCACTGCCCCCCAGCCAACCCCCCCAACCGACCCCCCCAACCGACCCCCACAACCGACACCCCCAACCGACCTGCCCCAGTCAGTTCGCCTGATAGAATGGGAAGCCTCGACGAACGGGTGTATTTCTTCCAACTCGCACAGATGCAGAGGCTCCCACGAAACGATAGCCTGAACGAAACTAAAAAAAAAGGGTAAAAAACGTGAGTACCGAATGCCAGCATCTCCTACCTCTCGGAATCCTCCACGAACGCGATCGATCCAGCGACCCCTCCTCTCCCCTCCCCTCCCCTCCCCTCCGACAAACCATAGAAGAAACCAGCCGAGGAACGGATCCAGCACACGGCGCCCTTCCCCGTCCGCGTCTCGCGAGCTCTGGATCGCGACTAAAGCTCCCACCCCAAAGACCTCCCACCCTCCTACCCTCCTTTGAGGCATCCAGCCGTCAGTCGACGGCCAGCCGTCGGAGGAGCCAGTCGCATCGCTTCGTGCGAGAAAAACAACTCGGGGTTATGCAATTCGTACCGGTTCCACCTCGTTCGAGATTCCAGATGGAAAACGTGAATTCCCTTCGGCCTCGATCGACCGGTTTTTCTTTGCCCTTTGATACTCCGGCCTCGTGTCCGTGGACCTCGTCTCGTTAGCGGTGTTTATCAGGTGGTCCGAGCGCTCCACGTTTTTTTTTCTGCTTCGTTCTCGACGTCGGATTACGTTCGCCTAATTGCATAAAAATTGAATTGCATTTTATCCACAATGGGCTTTCGTGGGAATCGGTTGACCTCAGCAAATTGAATTCTCGTCGGAACCCATTGTAAAGCGGAACGGATTGAAAGGCTGATGCATTTGGTGCGTGTCGCCTATTGTGTCGCGGCGACGTGAATCGAGTCCCTCGTTTACGACTCCTTTTTCGTCTTCATTTTCCGAGAATGCAAATAATAAATAAAAATGATGTATTTCCCACGAATCCGATTTCATCACAAGATAGCAACTAAGCCGCTTAAGATCAGGAAAAATAATAATCCAGATTCAAAATTCTCAGACGACGGCATCTCCCATAACGAATAATCGCCGGGGATCACCTGCAAAGGCCTCGCTCATCGATAATTAAAGGCTCATTAATAAGCCAGACTCGCAGGGCAGATCGTCAAAGTGGAATCCTCGTCCCCCCCCCCCCCCCCCCC